CCAATTTCATTTTCTTGCATGTGGAAATCCAGTTTTCCCAGCACCATTTATTGAAAAGACTATTTTTTCCCCATTCTGTCCTCTTGGGACCCTTGCCAAAATTTAGTTAATTAAATTAGGTTTAGATTTATTTCTGGGCTCTCTACTCTGTTTAACTGGTCTATAGTTCTGTTTTTATGCCAGTACCATACTGTTTTGATTACTTTAGCTTCCAAATATAATTTAAAATCAGGGAGCATTTATTTGTAATTATAACTTTTGAAAACTTGTATGTACTTTTTCCTCTCTTTGAAATTTATGTAAATCCTTCTGAAGCCTAGATAGGCCTTTCATTAGCTTTATGATCCAGGGATGTCTTCTCAAGTACTTGGGAACCATCTCTTTGAAATGTAAACATCAAAAGAGATGACACCCCTATATCCCAGTTTCTGTGGGAAGGTAGGAGCCTACCTTCTGTGGGTACCTTACTCAAAGTTGCAAAACTACTTCCTGTCATAAAGATATAAAAAGTTTTGTTTTTCCTCTGGAAAAAGCCAAGTAGCTGACACAGATGATCACTCCAAAATTACCAGGTAATGTTAGGATGAACTGTGTGTAACTATGGTATTGTCAAGTCCTCTTACTCTAACTTAACTATTGTTTGTCTTGAAAACACCTATGTAGGTTGGGCACGGTGGCTCATGCCTGTAATCCAGCACTTTGGGAGGCCAAGGTGAGTGGATTGCCTGAAGTCAGGACAGCCTGGCCAACATGGTGAAATCCTGTCTCTACTAAAATACAAAAAATTAGCCGGGCACTGTGGCGTGCGCCTATAATCCCAGCTACTTGGGCAGCTGAGGCAGGAGACTTGGTTGAGCCTGGGAGCTGGAGGTTGCAGTGAGCTGAGATCGTGCCATTGCACTCCAGCCCGGGTGATAAAAAAAAAAAAAGTATGTAATAGGTTGTGTCTGCTGCTTGGCTGTATAAAAGGTGAGATTTCTTTCCATCTTGCAATTTCCTAGATTACCTGTGATGCACATCACATTCTACTTTAAGGCTTATTCAATAATAGAAGTATTTTCTTTCCCTACTACCTTTGTGGAGAGGATTTCTGGGATGAGGGAAGATTTTTGTTTTTAATTATATGTCTCCAACCAACGATAATGGGACAGATGGGAAGAATAATGACTATCTTAGTGAACACAGCTTGGACAGATGACACCAAGGACAATATGCACCCCCTTGCCAGGTCACAACTATATAAGCACCCCTAAAACTTAGATGCAATGCTTTGGAGAAAAGGTGAGAGACTGAGATGATGAGATTTAATACACATCCTCCATAGAATAGGAGCTCAAAATAAAGATTAACATGAAAAAAGAAAAATAAAGCAATAAACTCTGCCTGAGCCTATGTGCCCAGAGTTGTGCTAGCTGCAGCATGAACTATTTGCCAATATTTAACTGCAGGAATCTTAACTTCAGATGCTTGTACCAACAACCCATTTCTTCTGGCTGAAGAACGAGAGATAAATGAGTGGAAGAAAACTTACATTTATCAGACTGGCTCTCAAACTTTGCTACATATTAGACACCTGGGAAGTTTTCAAAAATTCTGATGCCCGGGCCCCCTCCTGAGTTAATTAATCAGAATCTCTAGGAGGAGGACACAGTCATCACCATTTTTTAAAGTTCCAGAAGTGATTTCAGTGTGCAGACACACAGACACATGAATGTCCCTAGAGCCAGGGTCCCCAAATACAATATTTTGGCATTTGTGAGATGTGTTATAACAAACTTTCTCTTTTTAATAAAGTCAACATTTTTAAACTATTCACTTTTCTAATAACTATAATGGATATATGACAATCTCCATCACAATCTCAGTCCATGCACCGAGAGTTGCAGGGACCCCACAATTTTATACATGCCATAGCCTTTAATGAGGTATTGTTACTGTTTCATTTAACTAAAGGGTAGTATTTTTGAAGAGTAAAGTGATGATATTTTTTTCCTTGAAAAATAAAATTTGAGATCTAGAAATAGTTGACTGCATTACTCACATGCTTGTAAAATACCTTTCTAAATCCTACCCCCTCTGTCTCTCTCAATAAATAAATAATTATTTATTATTATGTCTCGAATTATGGAGACAGGGTCCCATTTTGTTGCCCAGGCTGGAGTGCAGTGGTGTGATCTGGCTTACTGCAGCCTCGATCTTCCCAGGCTCAAGCGATCCTCCCACCTCAGCCTCCCAACTAGGTGGGACTACAGGCTTGCACCACTACTCCTGGCTAATTTTTTAATTTTTTTTTTTTTTTTTGTAGAATCTGGGTCTCGCTATGTTGCCCAGGCTGGTCTGGAACTCCTGGGCTCAAGCCATCCTCCCGCCTCAGCCTCCCAAAGTGCTGGGATTACAGGGGTGAGCCCACGTGCCCAGCTATTGAGCACTTTAAATGTGGCTGTTCCAAGCTGAGATGTGATGTAAGCATAAAATACACTTGGATTTCAAAGACAGTATCAAGAATAATGTAAAAGATCTCATTAACATTTTATACGGGTTGCTGCATTTTGGATACATCAGGTTAAATAAAATATAATAATAAAATTAATTTCACTTCTTTTTGTTTCAATCTTTTGATATGGCTATCAGAAAGTTTAGAAGCACATCTGTGGTTTGCATTTGTGGTTTGTGTTATATTTCCAATGGACAGTGCTGCTTTATTTAGGGTAGATAAGAAATGCTGGGAGACCTATTTAAGATGCAGATTGCCAGGACTGACCCTCCAGGGAATCTAGTTCAGCAATCTGTGTTTCAGGCAAATATGAGCAGGAGCTACCTAAAGTAGCAGGGAGCATTTAATTCATTGCTGTCTGAATTTAATTTAGGAATTTAATTCATTGCTTTCTTCTCTCTCCTTCACTCCCAAGCCTAATTCTCTTCATATTTCTCAGTCCCAATTACCAAGAAAGAGAATCAGTTTGGCCTAGATAATCATCAATGACCCTCTTTAGTCAAAGCTTTCTGTCTTAGCCTACCCCATAGGTCTCTGACCAATCTATAGATAATCAAGTTGTGACTGGCGGGGAAGGGGCAGGAGGTAGGGAGGGGTGGGTCAGGAGTGACCTGGAACCTCTCCTCTCACCGGGGGCTGTGGGTAGGACAGCTTTGTTTGGAGAGGACTGTGAGAATGCCCAGCATAAACTGGCCTGGCCACATGTGAGTTAATTCAGAAATTAAAAGAGTAGGACATGCATGCAAAGGCCCTGCAAGGCCTCGAACCAAGGTCTGATTATCCCCGAACTGTGCTCCAGATACAATTCAGCCAAAGCTACTCCACAAATAACAATAATGATAGATTCACTCTCACAACATATTTCCATCACATCTAGCAACAAGTGGCAAAATTAAACCAGGAATTTAGGAGGGGAGAGAGAGAACGCAGAGGCAGATATGCAGGGGTAATATATGCAACACAGGCAAGTCATCAAAGAGCCAGTCACAGTGATGTCATACATCGCTGAGCAACCTTGGGCAAGATGCCTCAACCTCTCTGGCCTCAGTCTTTTCATCTTTACAGGTTAGAAAATGTCAGGGATTGCAAGGATTGGACGGAATGATACGCCAAATACACCCTCCGAAGGGCTCAAGTGATTGCAAAGATTGGATGGAATGTTACATTGACTACACCCTCCAAAGGGCTCAAGGGTTCTTTTGGTGAATACACCAAAAGGTCTATTTCTTCATCCTTGTTAAAACATTGGAAATGTTAACTCACAACTCTCATAGTCTACCAGCACTTATCTGTAGCTACAGCTTCACCTCAATACATCAAACTCCATCAGGCCGGCAGCCCTCTGCGAGCTCCACAGTATGCATTTGAGAGAAATACAGTCAGTCAGTTCTGAGCTAATGACAATTGTCAATTTAATCTGATGGTAGCTTTTTCCGATAACTGTCAGAATATTTAAGATTTACAACATACTCCAATGACCTACCATAGCATTTCTGTTTAAAAGATTCAAGCAGTGAGAAAAACTGTAAAAGAAAATTTTAACTATCATGTCTTGGGCCCAGACTTATTTTCATGCAACATTTTGAGAAAACTAAATATCATTTTCCTTTTTTTTTTTTTTTCTTTTTTTGAGACAGAGTGTCACTGTGTCATCCAGGCTCGAGTGCAGTGGCTCAATCTCAGCTCACTGCAACCTCCACCTCCTGGGTTCAAGCAACTTCCCTGCCTCAGCCTCCCGAGGAGCTGGGATTACAGGTGCCCACCACCACGCCCAGCTAATGTTTGTATTTGCAGTAGAGATGGGGTTTCACCATGTTGGCCAGGCTGGTCTCGAACTCCCGACCTCAAGAGATCCACCCCCCACCCCCAGCCTCCTAAAGTGCTGGGATTACAGGCGTGAGCCACCATGCCCGGCAATTTTCTTTAAGTTATGCCCCATAGGCCGGGCGCGGTGACTCAAGCCTGTAATGCCAGCACTTTGGGAGGCCGAGACGGGCGGATGACAAGGTCAGGAAATCGAGACCATCCTGGCTAACACAGTGAAACCCCGTCTCTACTAAAAAATACAAAAAAAAAAAATTAGCCGGGCACGGTGGTGGGCGCCCGTAGTCCCAGCTACTTGGGAGGCTGAGGCAGGAGAACGGCGTAAACCCAGGAGGCAGAGCTTGCAGTGAGCTGAGATCCGGCCACTGTGCTCCAGCCTGGGCGACAGAGCGAGACTCTGTCTCAAAAAAAAAAAAAAAAAAAAAAAAGTTATGCCCCATTTCCTTTTCACAACAATGAACTACCCCTCCCCTCAAAGTGCTCAATTTGTACAGGGAACCAGTACAGGTTTTTGAAATTTTCCTTTCCTTCATGAAGAATCTGACATTTCTGCTGTATCAATAACAATAGGAGCAAAGAGTTTACCCTGGATTTGCATAATTAGTTAGAAAGACGAGAGTTTCCGTGGCCTCTGAAAAAGGAGCTCTGCATCTTTAAGACTCTGCGAGGCTCCCTGCCCTCCGCGCAGACCGAGCAGACTCTGCCGCAGCGACTCATCCTATCGATAAGGTTCAGTTAGCCAAGGTGGAGGATGGGAAAAGAATGGAACTGTCCCAGCTACTCAATGAGATCAGGGCAAACTATGAAAAGATCCTCACCAGAAATCAGATAGAGACGGTGCTCTCAACAAGGATCCAGGTAATGATTTCATACAGACAGGCACCTTCCAGAATAAGGAGACAGTCCATGTCTACCCAATTCCTGTCCCGGCCTCTCTGAGGTACAGTATTTCCTTTTCGATGCAGCATCTATTGGGGAAGGAATTTAGCTTCTACTGCAATGTGACTGGGACTACAGGGGGAAATACTGTGATTATATTGTTAAATTGCCATTAAATAAGCATTGATTGATGCACTTGATTTTTATATAAATTGTGAGGTTCCTATCATTAACTTGGGGTCAACATACAATAAAATGGTGCACTCTAACCTCTTACAATCTTCAGGAAGGAAGCATTCCAAATACCCTTCAAAGATATTATGGAGTTATTTACAGAGATAATTTAAATAATATCTTTAAAATGTAAAACCTTTAAGTAAGATTTATTAGCATGTACACTTTCTAGAGATAAATATTTCTAAAAGGTTTCTATCATCTTTTTAACGAGTTCCGTTTTATACCAGATTGTTATGAATAGAAATCATCTGAGTGTGTGAACATGGCATTCAGAAACAATGATATAAATTATGACCATCGAAATTCCCCAAATTGGTAACGATTCTCCACTAAGCTTTTTGCTTCTGTACTATAAGATGAGAAATGTTTCTTTCCATTACAAAGCTTGTAATATTTAAGTATTTAAAAAAGAGAGAGAAAGCCAACTTAGATAAGGACTAAATCCTAATTTCATAGATTTAGTTTTAAACTAACAATCACTTTCAGCAATTAATTAAGGTCTCAAGTCTTTAAACAAATTTACAAACAAAGATTTTAGAAACAAAGATTAAGAAATTTAGGGGATTTTTTAGTTTACCTATCATACCATGGGTTCAAGGTATCTTCCAAGCCCTGAAATACAGCAAAAAGTTTACTTAAGAATATCACCCAAAAGAAAAAAGAAAAAAATTAGTAGAAAAATCTCAGGGCTTTATTCCATTAGCAACTCATTTTTAGTTCCATTGTAAATTTCACCTCTAGGTAACATTTTTAGTCTTCATAAAGAATGATCAACATCTTAGATTAAGCAAAGTCACTGGTACATGTAAGCATTGGGATAGTTCATTCACCTTTACAAACAGAAGAAAAAAATAGATGACAACTTCTAAAAACTGTAAACAAAACATTTACCTTTGCAGTAGTAGAAATATGAGTTTAGTTTACAAGTCACGGGGCCAAAATGAGTAAATTCAAATGAAAAGACTACAGTAAAGTTTTGTTTAAAGTGTCTTTTAACTTGAAACTACTTTAGAGGATTTTCTTCCAAATAACTCAGAAAGTCAGCTGAATTAAATTCAAGACAGCCTGATTATTTAGTTATTTTTTTAAAATTTCTAAATAAGCTATTTTAGTTACAGATTGTTGTATAACACCCCCAAAACTCAGCTGGGACGTCAATCGTCTTGGGGTATGACTGGGTTCACTCATGTGTCTGGCACTTTGGCAGGGCATTGCCAAAAGGCTGGCTCTGCTGGGACTTCCTCTCTCACTCCATGTAGCCTCAGGGTCTCTCTCCATCTGGCCTTTCTACAAGATCTCTCCAACAGGGCATCCAGACTTCTTACATATTGGCCCAGGGCTCCCAAAAGCACAGAAGTGGAAGTTATCAGGCTTCCTAAGACTTAGGCCTAGAAGTGGCACAGCATTCCTTCTGCCTCATTCTACTGGTTAAAGCAAGACCCAGGTCAGCCCAGAGTCAATGGAGAAGGGGATCACCCTAAGACTCATCTTGGGAGATGATAGAGTTCCTTAGGGGCCATCTTGGGACGGTAGTTACCAAACAAGCTTAGCTGCCAGTTCCATATTCGAAAGCCACAAGACCAGCAGACACCAGCATTTTTCGGTTTTCTTTTTTCCAAAATTCTTTACTTTATCCTCTGTAGTTCCTCTGGTAGGTGTTGCTTGCTGCGTGACTTTGCCAAGTTAACACTAAGAACAGATTTTCAACAAACCAAAAGAAATGTACGAATTTTGTTCTCAAATACCTTGCCCTAAATTTTATTCATAAACTTTCATTTACTTCGTTTCCTTTAAAAAATCTATTGTATAATAAAATTAAATTTTTAAATGTTAAAATGCTTTTTTATAATATTAAAAGTTATCAATTTTGCTTCAAAATACTATAATCAATTCTATACATTGTTCTCACTGTTCCTGGGGCCAAATGTTAAAAATTCTGTCAACAGATACTTTCTTTTAATTTCAACATCAACATAAAAACATTTAAAGCTAAATATAAAATTTCTACTTCTTTTTTTAATATGAGAATATTTAGAAAATAATCCTTAGAGAAGTCATTTTTATTATTTATTCTTTATTACCCAGATACCCAAACTTAATATGCCTTTTAAAAAAATCATCCTGAAAAAGGTAAATCAACAGATTTTCTTAATATGGAAGTCTATTTGCGAGCCTTATTGCCTATAGTAACTTAATTCTCTAAATTACCAGTAATGTACTTCCTAGCAGAATTTACTCCTGTCCCTATACCTGGTCCCAGGATTGATTAGTTTTGCGGGGTACAACTGTTTATCTGCTTCTGCAAAGCAACCTACAAGAAAATGTGGGGGGAAATAGCAAATTTTCAATCCTTCCTCCTAATGATCCATAAATAATGAAAAGTTAAGAATCAGAGATCACAAATCTTGGTCCTGCAAACTGTTTTCATTCATATAAATGTATTTTTCCTTATTTCATAGATTGTCATAGTTGGAAGAGAGTTGTTGAAATCATTTTACATAGAAGAAAACGGGCTAAGAACGCAATGGACTTGCTTACATATTTAATTAGTTAACTAGGCACTAGAACACACATTATAATCTAACAAGTTAAGGAAAAATGTTTTGATTCCTATACAATTTTTCTACAATTGCTCTTACACATGTCATTTTCAGAAGCACTCCTTGTTTTTTGTTATTGTTGCTGTTGGCTTTCTTGTAGCTAGAAGAAGACATAAGCAAAAAAATGGACAAAGATGAAGAGGCTCTGAAGGCAGCTCAAGCAGAACTCAAGGAGGCCCGACGCCAGTGGCACCACCTGCAAGTGGAAATTGAATCTCTCCATGCTGTGGTGAGAATGATCTCAAAAGTAACTGACCCATCGAGTCCTCAGATGTGATTTGATTAAGAGAGGGGAAGGATGAATGTCCGTTTATTCACCATGAGAAACTGGAAATCAAGGCCACTGAATTCTATCCCTGATCCTAGTTTAATTACTCACCCCTCCCCCCATTGTGGCAGTGGCTGTTACCAACTCACTCAAGGTTTAGTTCAGACCTGTAAAAATGAAGAAATCCTTTCTTATTACCTTGGGATTCTCTAGTTGCTGAAGTTGGGGAATAGAGCATTTGTTATTATCCAAAGTCTTCACAGTGGGGATTCTTTTATCCATGCCATTGAGACATCTAACAAAAAATATTTAGGCCGACACTGTGGCTCACACCTGTAATCCCAGCAATTTGGGAGGCTGAGGTGGGCTGACTGCCTGAGCTCAGGAGTTTGAGACCAGCCTGAGCAACATGGTGAAACCCCGTCTCTATTAAATACAAAATATTAGCTGAGCATGGTGGCACACGCCTGTAGTCCCAGCAACTTAGGAGGCTGAGGCACAAGAATTGCTTGAACCTGGGAGGCAGAGGTGGCAGTGAGCCGAGATCATGCCACTGCACTCCAGCCTGGGTGACAGAGTGAGACTCTGTCTCCAAAAAAGAAAAAGAAAATATGTTTGGCATGCGGTTGCTCATGCCTGTAATCCTAGCACTTTGGGAGGCCAAGGCAGGTGGATCACTTTAGGCCAGGAGTTTGAACCAGCCTAGGCAACATGGCGAAACCATCTCTTATACTAAAAATACAAAAAATTAGCTGGGTGTGGTGGCACACGCCTGTAATCCCAGCTACTCAGGAGGCTGAGGCATGAGAATCACTTGAACCCAGGAGGCAGAGGCTGCAGTGAGCTGAGATCACACCACTGCACTCCAGCCTGAGAGACATAGTGAGACTGTCTCAAACAAACAAACAAAAAGTATTTAAGCATGTTCCTAAATGCCTTTTATGAGCAGTCTGCTCTGGCTTTGATATTCAATATACTATATTTTCTTTCTTTTGTTTTACAAAGCAAAGCCTACCTCTGAAGTATACTTTCCATAATTTAAAAATCAGATAATTCAGAGTGATAATAAGTTAATCACGCTGCAGAGGATTTTTTTTTTTTTTTTTTTTTTTTTTTTTTTTTTTTTGCAGTAAGAATTATCACAAGATGTCTTTGAAATATAGTAAGATATCTAGTTAGGTACATAAAATATAATTTTTAAAAAATTAGGGGTCACACACAAAGCTGTAAGGAAACACACCTCTTGCATAGGTATAATACAATTATTGCAATCTTTTTAAAGAAAAAAATGGAACATAAAAGAATGAAGACAGCCAGGCACAGTGGCTCAAGCCTGTCATCCCAGCACTTTGGGAGGCCAAGGCGGGCGGATCACGAGGTCAGGAGTTCGAGACCAGCCTGGCCAACATGGTGAAGCCCCGTCTCTACTAAAGATACAAAAAATTAGCCGGGCGTGGTGGCACACGCCTGTAATCCTAGCTACTTGAGAGGCTGAGGCAGGAGAATCACTTGAACCCAGGAGGTGGAGGTTGCAGTGAACCAAGATCGTGCCATTGCACTCCACCCTGGGCAACAGGGCGAGAATCTGTCTCAAAAAAAAAAAAAAAAAAAAAAAAAAAAAAAAAAAAAAAAAAGATGAAGATATTGCAAATCAGATTTCAGAAACACATTCTGTGTTACTGATTCACTGATGAAAATCTATATAAAACAGGAAAGGGGCCTTGAAAACTCTCTACATGCCAGCGAGCAGCATTACCAGATGCAGCTGCAAGACCTAGAGGCTGTGATTGAAGGACTAGAAAAAGAGCTACAGGAAGTAAGGCGCGGCATCGAAAAGCAGCTTCAAGAGCATGAGATGCTTCTCAACACGAAGATGAGGCTGGAACAAGAAATAGCAACTTATCGCCGCCTCCTAGAAAAAGAAGAAATCAGGTACCTAAATCCATTTAGTTAATGACAAAGGGCCAGAAATACAGAGCCACTTATGCCATTGTTGATGTAGTCAGAGAAATTAAATCCAAAAAACCCATCATCACCTTGGTGTATTCACTGAGTTTATACAATAAGGTATGCACTGCAAATAATATATGAAAGAACCATTTCTAGACTTCCAAAATTAGGAACCAAATAGCCAAAGTCAGCTAGAACAAAATGTAAACAATTCTAGATTACTACAAAAATGATCTTGTAGTCTTGGCCGGCTGCAGTGGCTCACTCCTGTAATCCCAGCACTTTGGGAGGCTGAGGCAGGAGGATTACTACAGTTCAGGAGTTTTAGACCAGCTTGAGCAATATAGTGAGACCTCATCTCTACAAAAAAATTTAAAATTTGCTGAGCATGGTGGCACACACCTGTAGTCCCAGCTACTTGGGAGGCTAAGGTGGGAGGACTGCTTAAGCCCAGGAGTTTGGGATTATAATGAGCTAATCATGAAAAAGACCTTTCCTCAGCTGGGTGTGGTGGCTCACACCTGTAATCTCAGCACTTTGGGAGGCCAAGGTGGGAGGATCACCTGAGGTCAAGAGTTCAAGATCAGCCTGGCCAACATGGCAAAACCCTGTCTCTACTAAAATAATAACAATATTAATAATACAAAAACTAGCCGGGCATGGTGGTGCATGCCTGTAATCCCAGCTACTCGGGAGGCTGAGACAGGAGAATCACTTGAATCCAGGAGAGGCAGGTTGCAGTGAGCCTAGACCGCGCCACTGCACTCCAGCCCAGGCGACAGAGTAAGACTCCATCTCAAAAAAAAAAAAAGAGAGAGAGAGAGACCTTTCCTTTCTCACTTCCTTGCCATTCATCTCTTCTAGGATTAGTCTGTGCCTTCTAAGGATCACCCACAATGAAAGCCTGGAAAATTCACAATCACCACAATCCCCCTGACCAAGGGCTCACCTTATACCACACATCAAACCCCAAAACAATAATAATTACTATAATGTAATTATATTACAACCATGGAAAGCAATATTATTTTGAGTCATGATTTAAAAGACTGCTAGATGTCCTGATAAGAAAAGATATCAAGAGGAATTCTTATTAATTCATACATCATAATCTGTAATGACTTGTAAGGTCATATTGCTTTGAGCATGACATAACCTCCAATTCTCCATGAAGAAATCTTTATTCTTGCTTGTTTCCAAATTATAAGTCCTTTATAAAACTAGATGAAAACTAGGTGAAACAACTTTAGCCTATAATAAATCTTGATATTTATTAAATCTTTGAAAAAACATAAACTGAATTAAAGATATACCACTTACTAGCGGAGTGACCTTGGGCAAGTTACTTAACCTCTGTGTGCCTCAGTTTTCTCATCTGTAAAATGGGAATACTACTACTACCTACCTCATAGGATTGCTGTGAGGATTAAATGAGTTAATGTTTGTAAAGTGGTTAAAACAATATCTGGCACATTGTAAGTGCTATGTAAATGTGTGTGTATATATATCATGTATATACATATATGTATATGTATATATGTAACTATATAGTTAAATGGTTATAAATTTTAATTCCTAATCATTCCAGATCCTATATACATGTAACTATATAATTGTTAAATAAAATGAATGGTTGTGAATTTTATTTAATTCCTAATCATTCAAGATATTGATCAAATAGTCTTTAATATTTCCGTAGTAAAACTTTAAAAAAATTAGGCTACACTTAAGATATACAAGAAAATTTCATAAAAATACAATGACCACCTCTGTACCCACTTCCCCCAGTTTAAAAAGTAAAATAGTTAAAAAAAAAAAAAAAAGAATAAAATGTTTCCAATGTTGTTGAACTTCCCTGGACACCTAAGCCACATCCCCCAATCTCATGCTCCTCCCTCTACCTGACCTGGCTTCTGAATTTGATGCTTATTAGTCTCATACATTTATTTATAGTAATATGTATGTATTTCTACAAAGTGTGAAATTGTTTTGCATATTATTCTAAACTTTACAAAACTATAAAACTTTTTTCACTCAATATTATTCTTAGGCGATCCATCCGTAAACATAGCCTTAGTTCATTTCTTGTCAGTTAAATAGTGTTTCTATTGCATGAATATACAATTTATCCATTCTTCTGTTTGTTTTAATTATTTGCTAATACAGTATTGCTCTTAAAATATAATTATTTCCGATTTCAGATATTATGGTTGTATCCAAGGTGAGAAAAAAGACAAAAAGCCTACCACAAGTAAAGTTGGTTTTGTTTTACCATCAGGTGAGTTTCTGACATAAACAAACTCATTTGAAAAGTGAAGTACTATTTACGGGGATTATTTTATATGGAAATTAAACACTCTAAAGTAGCAAAGAAAAGCAAGCAATATTTGAATAAAAGTTTGAATATAATTTGTGAACAGTAATTCAATATTGTAATTTAATATATCACAAATAATATTTTCACAGCCATTATAAATGAAATATCTTTTACTACAAAAGTCCCACAAAAGTATGAGAATGAAAACGTAGAAACAGTGACCAAACAGGCAATCTTAAATGGGAATATCGTTAAGGAGAGCACTGAAGCTCATGGCACTATCCAGTAAGTAAAGAAACTTTGACTAAGAAATAGTAATAAATATATGTAAAGAAATTAACTTTGAGTAATCTCAGTAATTACTCTTCTTTGTTTAAATGTTTCCAAACATAGTTTTAGTATACTGTGATTTTTTTTTTTTTTTTGAGACGGAGTCTCACTCTGTTGCCAGAGTGGAGTGCAGTGGCACAATCTTGGCTCACTGCAACCTCCACCTCCCGAGTTCAAGCGATTGTTCTGCCTCAGCCTCCCAAGTAGCTGGGAATACCACCAGCTGGGAAGCGCCACCACACTCAGCTATTTTTTTGTATTTTTAGTAGAGATGGGGTTTTACCATGTTGGCCAGGTTGGTCTCATTCTCCTGACCTCATGATCTGCCCGCCTCAGCTTCCCAAAGTGCTGGGATTACAGGCATGAGCCACCATACCCAGCCTATTCTGTGATTTTTAATCTGACATATATACATAAAAATTCATGGAAGAGTACTCAATCCTTAATTTGCCATTTTTTTAACAAAAATACAACCCAAACATGAGAATTCCTAAAGAGAAATTCCATAGAATTCCTTTGCAATTCTATTCATATGGTTGTTAAAGTAAGTACATTATAAATTCTGTACACCATAAATTATACAAATTTCTTGATTTTTCCATAGATATGAAATACATAATACATATTTTTAATAGACCCATACTTCATTATTAAAAGGTTTATTTTATCATTTCAGGACAGAGAAAGTGGATGAAGTTATTAAAGAATGGGAAGGTTCTTTCTTTAAAGATAACCCTCGATTGAGGAAAAAATCTGTTTCTCTTCGATTTGATCTTCATTTAGCAGCCACTGATGAAGGGTGTTTACAGACTAAGCAGGATAATCTACCAGATATAGAAGTCAGGCTTATCATGAGAAGATCATGCAGTATTCCCTCTATCAAACCTCCATCAACAGCTGATTAATCCAAAGATAGTATCTGACTTGATTTGAAAATGTTAGGATGGACCAAGGTGGGCTATACCAACTCCCTCTGTCCCAAAATGTAAGTTATTACATATGTATGGAAACTGTTATGATCAATATGTGGTTCTCTTCAGAAGAAAAAACCAGTAAAGGACATTTCTCTGAATCTAATTATGGAGATGATAGACATATATGAATGAGAGGGAGTAGCTTAAAAATAAAATCACAAATTCAGTACAGTCTATTTCTTTATATTCTCCAGTCTTCTTTTTCCCTTGAAACTTCATCAGAGACTGTAAGCATTTAACTGGTTTAGTGAAGTCTTCATAATTTTTTTCAATGGCTGAATATGCTAAGGAAAAAAGAATTGTTTAAATAAGATTGTATTATATTAAGAGTCACACTGAGTTATTCACCATTATTCAATGGCTGGTTAAACCTACTGTGTGTTCTATTTTTCAAAAAGAGCAATTATAAACAAGTTTTTAAAGGGGGATTCACCCGTTACTTAATGAGGATTCTTCTTTTTGAGATAATCATTTGTATACTGAAAGAAATAAGAGTTATTTCCATGAGAAATTCTGAGCGAACTATGGAACACACCCCAAGGCTAATTTGAGATAAGTAAAATTAAGTTAATATACATATATCTAAAAGATTTTTTTTGTAATAAGTATCTGATTTCCAGAAGATTTACTTTACTCAAGAACTTTAAAGGTTGTATCCCCCACCAAAAAAAGAAAAAAAAAATCAGAAGGCCAACTGCGCAAACAAAACATGAAAAGCAAATTGAAAAGGTATTACCATAGTTATCAGAACAGTTATCCACCATCCCAGTTTTTCCATCTGTAAAGATAATGTGATTAGAGTGTTTGCTATGAGCCGTAGATAAGATACTATATGAAGTATTATAAATATTTCTTGCAATCATTTATGTGAACTAAGATAATGGTATTGTTATCTAATGTGAACTAAGATAACGGTATTGTTATCTAAGCTAAGAGTATTTGCAGGATTTGTTTTTAAATTGTTCAAATTGTAATAAATATGGGTAGAAAATATATTTGTGAATAAGTGAGGTATTGTTGCAAAGTTTTTAAAATAACCTAATTTGTTTAATACAGGTATATTTAAGATCTTAATAAATACCTGTTTTAAGACATTAGAAATTTATAAGCTCTTAATTCTTTTCTAAGCAGAAAAAGTAGTTGAGTACAACTCACCAACTTTTTCCCAGCTAAAGTATCATCTAAGGGCTACAGCTATGTTAGCATTTTAGTACAGTCTTTAAAATGTTTCTCTCTCTCTCTCTCTCTCTCCCCTCTATCTCTCTTTCTCTCCATATATATATAATATACATATAAAATTATATATATTTCAACCAGAAAAATGTATGTTTTAACCAGGAAAATATTATGTTAAATAATCTTTAACATAATACAAGGATATAAAGTTTTTAATTTTCTTTCAATTACTTCAGATCCCTTTTAGTCTGGTTTATTCTATTTAGTGAAAAGGGATGATTTTGTTTTGTCAAGGATGTAACAGCATGTTAAGTGCTTATTCTTGCATAAGCATCTGACCTAAAATACATCCTATACATAAAAAATGTTTCATTCAATATTGCTAAATGCTACTAACTTTATTAAAGCTTTAAAAATGCAATCATATAAGTTATTGTACTAAAGTTACTGTACTAAGCAACAGTGATCATAATAAAGCAATATATCTAGCATAATCTATTGCAGTGTAAAAAAAAAAAAAAAACTTAGTATTGGGCGTCATGAATGTAACTGCTTGTTGTAGTAATTCCAGTATGCATCTATTGGGTGTATAACATGTACATTTTAAAATACAGTACTTGAATTTATAATGAAGCTTTATTCGCTTTCGGGCATTTTAAATTGGGATATGAATTTACCAAGGTAATGATTTCAATACAATTTAAAAAATGAAACATGGCCAGACATGGTGGCTCATGCCCGTAATCCCAGCACTTTGGGAGGCCAATGTGGGAGGATTGCTTGAGCCCAGGAGTTCAAGGCCAGCCTGGGCAATATAGCGAGACCCCCATCTCTATAAAAAGTAAAAATAAATAAAAATTAAACATTGAAAAAATTGAAATATGAATGCTAAAGCTGCATTGTATGTGAGTTTGAAAGCAGTCCTTTTAGTTCAAAAATATCTCCGCATAGTTAAGAGAAACAAAGAACTAATTACTCCAATATGGTTAGTTCATTTGGGGAATAAAGAAAACTGCAATCACAATAGATAGATAATGGTTTTTAACTTGTTTCACAAAAGAGTTAAGAATGGTATATCAATATTTTATTCTAGTTTTTTAAAAATCAAAATAATCACATAATCCCATAAATCTGGGAAAAGTTTAATAATGGCTGCACCATTTGCAAAGCACTTAGTCAGCTCCAGGCACTGTGTTTATCCCTAATAATCCCTAATCCTTCCTTACAACAGTCCTACACAATGAATAATATTATCCTTGTTTTATACATGAGTAGAAATTAATATTCTTCAATCTCTCTGAAATGTTTCAAATGCATGCTTCCATAACAAAATACAAAAATAAAGAGCAATTCCAATTACTAACAATTGTAGGATCCTAGCCCTGGTTCTGTCACTAATTAACCATGTAATCAGGAGGGACCACTTTAAGTTCCTAGGCCTCAAGTTTTACACTTGAAAACAAAGGAAAAGGTAATGCTGGGTAATAATTCCTACTCTGCCTACCTTACAATTGTTTGAAATAATATACAAGCAAAAATATTTGGTAAAGCACTGCTCAGATATACAGTACTATTTGGAAGAAAATTGTCTTTAAAGAATTTGTGGGGGAAATCATAGCTGACAATGATTAAGTAATAGTTCAAAACACAACAGGTAAAGATACTATTTTTAATTTTTCAATTGCTGCCAGAAAAGTTATTCTTTCCCAGTGAGTCACCCAATTTGAACTGTTCTGTCATGATAGATCTTAAAGTACAAAAATGTTCTCCATGCCAGGCACACTGTCTAGAGTACAAAAATGTTCTCTATGCCAGGCACGGTGGCTCACGCCTATAATCCCAGCACTTTGGGAGGCCTAAGCAGGATTGCTAGAGCTCAGGAGTTCAAGCCCAGCCTGGGCAATATAGTGAGGCCTTGTTTCTATTAAAAAATTTTAAATTAACCGAGCATGCTGACACACCAGTAGTCCCAGCTACTCAGGAGGCTGAAGTGCAAGAATTGCTTGAGCCCAGGAGGTGGAAGGTACAGTGAGCCAAGATCACGCCACTGAACTCCAGCCTGGGTGACAGAGTGAGACCCTGTGTCTCAAAAAAAAGAAAAAGTTTATCTAAAGATAATAGGTGATTATTTTAAGCCACTAAATTTTGGGATAATTTGCTATGCAGAAATATGCAAATAATACTGCACATAAGCATATTTCTTATTCATTTGTTAGAGATCTTTGTATTGTCAAAGTTTGTCCTTCAATTTGTTTTCTTATGGTTTTAGAATTTTTTTAAAAATCTCTTGGCTGGGCATGGTGGCTCACACCTGTAATCTCAACACTTAGGGAGGCTGAGGCAGGAGGATCACTTGAGCCCAGGAGTTTGAGACCAGCCTGGGCAACACACTGAGCCCTTGTCTCAACCAAAAAAAAAAATCAAAAAATTAACCCAGTGTGGTAGTGTGCACCTGTAGTCTGAACTACTCAGGAAGCAGAGGTGGGAGAATTGCCTGAACCCAGGAGGTCGAGACTGCAGTGAGCCTAGATTGTACCACTCCAGCCTAGGCAATAGAGTGAGACCCTGTCTCAAAAATGAAAATAAAAATAAAAATCTCTGAAGTCAGAAAATGCTTTCATTAATTTGAAAGTTTCCCCATTGGAAATGTATTATGATACATGAGCTGAAATTAAATTTTAGATAAATAATATGCATATACATTACTCAAATTATCAACACATGAAATCAAAGGAAAGTTTGTCTGTCTACAGGGCAGAATTTGGTTCTATGTTTACAAGTTATGGCCGGCATGTACACACAGATTGCAATATTTGTGGGCATATAACAAATAAAGGCTCTAAAATAAGGTATATGTGAAAATCAGTACAAGCGTTTCCAAGTTTCCCTCACATGCTTAGACTCTAGACCAGCCTTGGCAACCTGCTCCATTGAAGCCCAGAGAGCAAATATTTTAGGCTTTTCAGGCCATAAGATCCCTGTAACAAGTATGCAACCCTTCCCTTGTAACCACAAGCAACCAAAGACAATATGTAAATAAATGGAGGTGCCTGTGTCCAAATAAGGGTTTATTACAAAAACAGGAAGCAGCCCAGATAGGCCTGCAACAATCTCGTTTGGCTACTTTGCTCTAGACTCCCAATATTATCAGTGGATAATAGACCCCACACCCCAGATTCTCCAGCTCTATCCTGTTTTCAATGTTCATCCCTTTCCACACCATGTGGCAACACTCTTGTCCCAAATCCCCGAGGTTATTTTGAGGGCAACACAGAGGGTTCTAAAAGCAAACCGTGCTTTTTAAATTCTGTGAATCACTCTGTCCTGGAAAGCTGCTAAGCTTCAATATTTCACAACTATTTCCAGCTACAGAAAACAGAATACCCATAACTCCTTCTGCTTTCACAGAAACAGCTGAGAAAATTAGTTTGTTTCATCATTTTGTCTATAACCAGACTTTCATAGGCTATTTGGGTCAGGTAAAGTTTTGTTCTCGCTTTCCCTTGCTTAAGAAAAATAAAAAATCCATTAAAAAAGCTTCCACAGACATACTACAAACTCCATGGCTCAGTGGTTGCTTCATAATCTTTGAGTCACGCACCCCTTTGAAAATCTCATGAAAGAATCAACCTTCTATCAGGAAAAAAGCCCATAAGAATTGAGTATAATTTTAAAGGGTTCATAGACCACTGACAGCCTATTCATAAACTACTGGGTGTCCAAGGACTTCAGGTTTTTCCTTATTCTCTCTCATTTTCTCCTTTTTTCTTCTTTCTTCTCAGTCCTACCCCTAATTCTGTCTCCATCACCAGTTTCTTCCCACAGCACAATGGAAAGAACTCAAAGATACCTGGGCTTGAACCTTAGCTTACTCACTTAGTTTTGGCTTCCCTGTCTTGGGGAAAGAAGAACCCCAAAAAAGTACGAGTAGTGTCTGGGGAAAGCAGGCCAACTTTCTGGATCTTGCTGCCAGAATGAAAACTAAGGCCTAAGTTAGGCCTTAATTGGGTCTAAGATTATCTCTGGGGTTAACCACTGGGCCCATGTGAGCGCTCCCAACGACCCTTATATTTAAATAGTCATATTGATGCTGTATCCCAAGTTTTCTGGGAATAATCACAACTCCAAACATCTGTCCTGTAGTTACCAAAATATCCTTCTAAAGGCAAGATCATATGTTCTGATATTTGCTTTAAGGGGAAAAAAACTCATAATAAGTAAAGTCCATCTTGCTAGGTAGTTCACTCTTCAGTTTTAGTTTCTTCAGAACTAGGGAACAGATTATTTTTCTATTATCTCTTACCTATATCCTTCCTTCTTTTCTTTTTTTTTTAGAAAGGGCCTCTGTCACCCAGGGTGGAGTGCAGTGGCATGATCATGGCTCACTGCAGCCTTGACCTCCCAGGCTCAAGCAATCCTCCCACCTCAGCGTCCCAAGTAACTGAGACCACACCTGGCTAATTTTTTTTTTTTTTTCTTTTAAGAGATGGGGTCTCCCTATGTTGCCAGGCTGGTGTTTCTTAATTTTTCAAATCTTTGGTAGAGAAAGAACCAAGGGAAGAAAATGAGTCATTCATGTATTTACTCCACAAGTATTGAGCACCTAAATGTGCTGTGTACTGTTCCAAAAGTCAAACGTCTCCACTCTGATGGGAAAAAAAAGATGGCCGGGTGCGGTGTCTCACGCCTGTAATTCAGCACTTCGGGAGGCCGAGGCGGGTGGATCACTTGAGGTCAGGAGTCTAAGACCTGCCTGACCAATGGTGAAACCTCGTCTCTACTAAAAATACAAAATTAGCCAGCTGTGGTAGCACATGCTGTAATCCCAGCTACTTGGGAGGCTGAGGCAGGAGAATCACTTAAACCCGGGAGACGGAGGTCGCAGTGAGCCAAGATCGTGCCATTGCACTCCAGCCTGGGCAACAAGAGCGAAACTCCGTCTCAAAAAAAAAAAAAAAAAGAAAGAAAGAAAAGAAAAAGAAAAAGAAAAAATAAATTCATAAAATGTATAGTATGTTAGGTAGCGATAAGTACTACACAAAAAGTAAAGAACAGGCCATGAACAGACACTGGGGGTTGGGGAATGAGCTGCAATTTTAAAGAGGTCAGGAAACACCTACTAAGAAGGTGACATTTGAGCAGAAGCCCAGTGACAAAGTGTATCAGACAATGTCACTGCTCCACTTAGGTCCCCTCCTTTCCCTTTTCTCCGTTTGTGGGCCATCCCTTTCCTACTATAGTGTGCTTTATTCCTAACATTCAAAACCTGCAGTTTTTCTTCAGAGGACTGCCTGGGGACAACACACAGCGCCTCCCCAGCACTGCACTTGCCCAGTCCCCCCACCATAATCCCAAAGGCAGGGAAGAAACCAGGCTGGAGTTGCTTGGTAAAACCAGAAAAAGAATGTACTGGAATCCCTTCCGAGGCCTTCGTGTATCGTACATTAATCCTTTACATGTCCCTGATGCATATATATATATTTGTGTGTGTGTGTATATATGTGTGTGTGTATATATATATATATTTTTGTTTGTTTGTTTGTTTTTTGAGACGGAGTCTCGCTCTGTCTCCCAGGCTGGAGTGCAGTGGCGCCATCTCGGCTCACTGCAAGCTCCGCCTTCTGGGTTCATGCCATTCTCCTGCCTCAGTCTCCCCAATAGCTGAGACTACACGCGCCCGCCGCCACGCCCGGCTAATTTTGTTTTTGTAATTTTAGTAGAGACGGGATTTCACAGTGTGAGCCAGGATGGTCTCGATCTCCTGACCTCGTGATCCGCCCGCCTCGGCCTCCCAAAAGTGCTGGGACTACACGCGTGAATATTTTTTAAAAAGCAATTTCATGTACATTTTCTCAAGCACCACTCAAGCTGCCTGTCCACAGGGCAGACAACCTCTCCTTTAGTCTTTCTCTTGAATATGCTCTTCAATTCATTAATCTCTATTCATGAGTATAACAATATTGGATAAATTGGACAGAGCAGCACTTGTTCCTGGCTTTGCAGACTAGAGATGCTTCTATTCCCTGTTGGCACACTCAGGATGAGGGCTAAGGGCAGCCCAAGAATTCAGCCTCTCTCTCTAAATGTCAACTGTTTTCAAGTAACGACAGGTCAGGGGTCCCATCTGTTCATTCTCCTCCACAGTGGCCCACAATATCCGTCAGGTGTTTATGTATCCAAAGAGAAGGCTACTCACTCCATCTGGTAAACCAACATACTCATGATGTAGTGGAAAGAGTCCCGGAGTAGCACAGGGGGCTGCCTCAATACACACTTACTGAGCGTCTAACAGTGAATGAGTCAAGTCCTTCGTAGGCACTGGCAAGGGGAAGATGACCAATACAAACGGCTGAACCTTGCTTTCAAGGCCTTCATAAAGCACTAGAGATGACAAACACGGTCCGATACAAAGGGTCAGGTTCAGGACTCCAGTCATTATTATCAAAGAGCCACGGGAATACAAAGGAAGGATTACTAGCGGGGGAAGTTCCTGGAGGGCATCACAAAGAGACCTCTGAGCTGGATCCGGAAGGACAGATGAGTTTAAGCTGAAAGTGGGGTCGGTCGTTCCCGCTGGCGGGAACCGAAGGAGCCAAGGCAGCTTTGGGGCGGAGACCAGGTGGCACCCGCGGCGCTGCAAGGACACACAAGCTGTTGCAAGAGGGTCAACCTCTCCGGGCCTTGGCTCAGAAACCTGGGACGATTACACCCTAAAAGCGCTTGGAAAAACTGCAAAACTCGTACTGCTTTTCGCCAAAGCTACTACCGTGCCGTGAGGGCAGGAAGTCCTGCGAGGCGTCTGCGAGGAAGCAAACGCCGCGAAGCGAGTCCTCCACGCCTCCATCCCCGGCATAGTGAAGTGTAGACTCTGGCCCACAGCCGAAAGGAAAGACCCGGGTCGGGGAGGGCCCCTCCAGGGGCGGGCTCAGCCGGAGTCTGGCCGAGCTGCGCGCGGCCACAGTGGTTCCGCGGCCTCGCGCTGAGTGCCTCCCGCCGTCTCCCACTGCAGCCCCCTCCGCCCCTCCGCAAGGCCCGGCGCCTCCCGCCACCTCCTCGGTCGCTGCGGCCGCTCCAGCTCCTCACAGCCGCTAAACCCAGGCCTATCCCGCGGTCGGTTCTCTTCGGCCCTCTTCGCCGTGACGAATCGGCGCCCGGCTAGGAAAGTATCCAAATTCGGAGAGTTTTGAGGAACCAATGGGGCCTGAAAAAAATCCCAGAGTGTGCTAAGCATCACCGCATCCTCACTAGAAGGTTTATTTTTTCCAAAGAGGGTCGGGTGGGGCCCGGAAAAAAAAAAAATTAAGAAGAGTGTGGAAAGTGCGAGTGCGGAAGCTCCGGACGCGAGGGGCGGGGCGTGCGCGGGACAAAGGGAAGCGAAGCCGGAGCTGCGGGCGCTTTTTCTGCCCGCGGGTGAGTGTTTCCAAGTGGGCTGGACCGGGTCGGTGGGGGCAAGTCGTGGTGTCCCCGCTTGGCTGAACTCCGAGTTCCCGGGGGTTGCTGGGGTTCAGGCTTGGCCGTGGGGCCACAGCCGGTAGCCGGTTGCGGCCTCCTTGAGGCCTAGCAGAGCAAGGGTTGGAAGGGAGTCCCATCTGGGGCCCCCTCCTTGGAGGCAAGGCCGGTCACCCGAAATTGGTCAGAGCACCTGTGCATACCCCGTTTTAGGGGAGTTGCTAGTAAAGTACGTTCTCCAAGACAATGAGAGTGACCTCAGGAAGCCCGCGGGCGAGGCAAGTCCGTGGTTCTCACCCCCAGGAATAAGGTTCCCCCATTGGTTCAGGCAGCGACTTGAGGACTCAAGATGTGGCTTATGGAGACGAGCAGCGCTCTGAAATAGTTTGGCCTGGGTTTGAAACCCAACTCTGGCACTTCCTGGCTGCATATGGCTTCAGACAAGTTGTTTAGACTCTCCGAGACTCCCTTGTTTCATCTGTAAAATGGGGATAGCTGTACATATCAAGTACTTGTGACTGTTAAGCGAAATAGGGTCATAAGCCTACCCCGTATAAAGTATTTCTTGAACAAATATTTATCGGGTATTTATTTTTATGCCAGGCACCAAGGATGGATCCAACGGTGGACAAATGTACAAGCCCACTCTTAAATTTTATGTTCTAGCAAAGGAGAACCATAATTTTAAAGTATTAACAATGAAGTATAACGTACAGGGAGCTTAGCTTATGGCAGTTGTCAGGGTGCCCTGCAGCGAGGCCTGCTGGATGTTGACAGCTCCCTTAATGTGAGCAGAAAGAAAATCTACACCAGAGTCAAAGGTTTCTGACTGTTCTTTAAGAGGGAAAGACTCAGGTTGGACCATTGAGAAAATGAACTGTTTCTTTCCACACCAGGACTCATTCCTTACGCTCCAGGGAATTTCCTTAAAATGAGTAATAGAAGTGAAAAATCGGATCTATTCCACATAACTTTAGATGCAAATACCTCCAATAGTCATAGAAGTTTATTTGCCTTCTTTCTAAAGATGAATTTTTGTCTTTTTGTACCTCACTATTTGTGATGTATGTTGATGTAAAGAACAAGCTCACATGTGCCTGATTATGTTGTGAGCTGGTAATACTAGGAAAAAATTTCCTAAGAATTGAGCTGGGTCCTGCCATGGTCCCTGTTTCCAAGTAGCATACAATCTAGCCATATTGACAAGTTAAAAAAAGTTATAATAATATCATAGATCTGTGTAAACTGTATAGGAATACAGATGGGGGAGCAATTAATTCTGCCCAGGTAATGTATCAAGAAAGTTCCATTGAGGAGAAAAATTTTGAAATGGGCCGTGAAGGGTGAATAAGAATTTTTCAGGTAGACTCTCAAAATTTATTCCCAGCATTTATGAAGCTATTTACCACTCTTAAGAGAATGCGAAGTTCATTGTCATACCAATTACCTTTTGCACTGCTTCCAGGAATAAAATGCTGCCCAATTTTAATAAAAATTGTTATCCCAAAAACATGGTACAGTTGCTGATCAAGGAGCTGTCAGTATCTGGTAGGCCTTGTTGGGTTGGACTCTAATACATCACTTTGTATTCTCATCCTTGTATCAGTCCGATGAAATGTTTACATGGCGTCAGCAAAATGTTTTCCATACAAGAGGTAGCTTAGTATCCCAAGAAAAAACCTGAAAGTACATTTCTAAATATCCCCAGTACTTTATTTTAGTCATTTAATTCTAATCAACCAAATCTCCTATAAGAACTAGTTAAAATATGCAAAAGGCTTAATTACTAGGAATTAAGGTGAAGTAGTTTTACTCAGAAATACCAATTAAATTACCCTATTCATTAGGAAAACATTCTCGTATGCTTGCTGAGTTTTGATTCTCTTTTTTTTTCCTTTTTTTTTTATTTTAGTGTCTCAGATTCATTCTTAAGGAACTGAGAACTTAATCTTCCAAAATGTCAAGTAAGTTTCAATTTTTATATTTATCGATCTATGTTAATAAGAGACTAATGCCCTAGCAAGTGGGAATTCCAAAATACTCTCATTTTTTTTTCTTCAAAACAGGACCATTGGTAGTTTTGTTGCATAGTATTATATCTCAGTTGTTTACAAGAAGTTATTTATTTTCTTTCAAACAGAAAGACCATCTTATGCCCCACCTCCCACCCCAGCTCCTGCAACAGTAAGTTTTAATTTTCTTGTTAATGTAATAGCCAAGTCTGGCCTTGATACAAAAACCCAGATGTCTTCCAGTGACAGTCACTCAATCATCACAGCAACAGGATGAAATTCAGCTTAAAAGAAAAAAAAAAAAAAAAAAAGCATTTCCTACTAAATAAAATAATTATTTGCATCTTTCCTTGAACCAACCCCAACATTTAAAGAAACAATACTGTAAAACTCCAACCTCCTATGCTCAGTTTGTTTTGTTTTTTTCTTTGTAAATGGGAAATAAGTGAAAGTTTTACCATTTCTTTCTTATTAATCTTCACTATTAAGAGTCTTTAAGTTGTTACTGAATGAATGCTCATTCTGGCTTTTTTGTTAAACCTAACCTTCAACTGGTTATGTTTTTCTCTCCTTTCTTGTCTCTCTATAAAATTTTCATATTAAACAATAAAGCTTCTGAAACTATACTCATTGTAAGTATTTTCAAGCTGTTCAAGTAAAGATTTCATTATCTATGGGTCAGATCTTGCTATTGAATCTTTTTCCACTCCATAAATTATATTTTATTGGTTTGGAAGTATGTATGTTTTGAGGTATTTAAAAAGTAGTTGTGAACATGTTTTTCATCCAGCAAGCTCTGGCCCAGCTTGGTCAGCATGTAAAATAATTTTCCAACCTACAAAACAGATTTAGCAGTAACTGTTCAGGTCTTGCTGAAATGGCTTCCTTGTTGGTTTTTTGGGAGGGGGGTTTTGTTTGTTTTTTTAAAAACACTGTTAACATGACCAAATTCTACAAAATTAGTTCTTTAATATTAATCCTTCCTTCCATACCCCCTACTACCTAAATTTCAGGCTAGTCTACTTTTCACTACTAATTAGGTCCTTGTGTAATTTTGTTTTCTCCGCTAGAAAACTATTCATATTTACTAACCCTCAGATATATGTTTTAGTTACATTTATCAACAATTTGTTTTTCTTTAGTGAGATACTTTTAAAAAGAGATACTGTACCATATGTTCTCATTTCAATTTATATTATATACAGGCTCTAAAGTTAATTCCAGTAGACCGTAAAGTCCTGTGCTTGGTTTCTTTTCTTTCTTAAATCAAAGAACATTTGTTATGACCATCTCCATGGCATTCCGCTAGTGGCTATACAGGTGGAGCTGAACAATTGAGATTCTGACCTCAAAGAGCTAACCATGTACTTCAGCTTTGGAAATGGTATAATTATAATGTTTTGCTTTCCATTTTTTTTTTTTAGTTCCCTTATTTTTATAACATTATTGCCTCATAATGTTGAACAGTGATTCTTATTATTTATGCAAACTTTGAAGGTGTCATTTTGACATAAATACTGCCTCTGACAATGTATCATATCTTGAGGACAAACTTGATTTTTTGAGATTAAAATATTTCAAAAATGAAGTGTCCCCTTATAACTTACTATGCGTAAAAAGGATTTTTTTTTGCCTTTCTTTAGTTATATTTTTGTGCCATTATAATTTCACGTTAACACACAAAATATAGAAAACTAGGGATTAAAACATCCAACAGAATGGATACTAAATTAATTATTCTCCTTCCTTCTTTCCATTACTCCTACCACCACCACCATCACCACCACTACCAACACTATCACCACTATCACCTCCGCCACCCAAATGTACCACTCCAAGTAATATACACTTCTTTCATGCCTTTGATACTTCATCTGTGTTTTGCCTACTTAAATATGCTTAATTTGCGTCTTTTCTAACTGTATAGACTAGAAATTGATCAGCCGTTCTCTTTTCTCCTAAAGAGTATCAAATGTAATATCTGCTTAAATGTCTTTCTTTTGGGTACTAAGGATATGTGCAGCGACATGTTTTAGGAAATTGTGTTTATTTTGTAACAGCTACAGCTTAGTTGGAATGTGTTAAGTGTATTTTACATTATACAGTTAAGGACCAATATTGTTAATTGCATGTAAAAATGAAATTGTCACATATTTTGATTGAGCTTTACAAGGTAAAATACCCGAATTTTGGTCTCTCTCTACTATATTCTTTCTATACATTATGCCTTGGTTCTCATGAACATTGAGTGTCATTGTATTAGCCCCAAGGCCACTGCTATATAAGAGCCCATTTGTGATTACATCAACACATAATTCACAAAAACCAAGAGTTCTGTTGCTGAAATGAGCAGTTGTGTTTTGAAAGGGTGAGAGCTATCAGGAAACTAGATGAAAAAAGAAAATTCAAGTCTATCAACTAGAAAAGTAGATCACATTGAGACTAAATGCAGAAATGTTTTCATGATTGACCTGTGGAAGATGGATCAAAGAAGAGATGGAAGAGAAATCCTATAAAAGAATGACTGGGTTAAAAAGATCAGATAGTACCCCAGAATGAAATCCATGCATTTCTTACAAGTCTTTGTTTTAAATCATGTATGTGACATCCATCAAATCCAGCATATGTTCTTTTCAATTGACAAATCCTGGCTTCCCGATTTGAGTCTCTTCTCATTTCTCACATTATATAAAATGATTTAAAACTGTCTTTGAAATCAGATCCATTTCTTGTTTTTGTTTTTAGTAGATGAATACATTGGTGGCATCCACATGTCAAATAAATTGTGTTTTGTTTTGCATGTAGTGTTTTCAGAGTTCTAGTTTATCACACTTTAAGCCTTCCTATCTCAGTCTTCATATATTGCTAAGTTGTTATATCCTGTTGTTGACCATAAAGTAAATCCTGAATGTTTTAAACACTTCAGCGTATTGCTTTCCTCCAGAAACACAACACACATTCACAGTCACACAAACACCCCCAGTCCCTGCAAAAAAGAAAGAGAAAAACAACCAAAAGACACTGCAGACAGGTTTCTCAATGAAAGAAAAATATTTAATTTCCTCAGTGGAAAAAAAGAACAATTACAACACATCATTGCTTGTTTAAATTCAGGTTGCTTTTGCATGCCATATGCAGATCATTTTTCATTTCTGTGTTTTCCTCGTTTGAGCTCATTTCTCATTCGTGTTTTTGTCTCATTTGTTTCCATCAGCAAATGCCCAGCACACCAGGGTTTGTGGGATACAATCCATACAGTCATCTCGCCTACAACAACTACAGGCTGGGAGGGAACCCGGGCACCAACAGCCGGGTCACGGTAGGAGAATCAACTATTACAGCATCCGGCAAACAACTGGAATTGACCAGAAATGCCTTCAGAATTAGGTCTTTTTGAATCATAAGCACAGCCATTTAAAAAAATTTTTTTAACCTAGCTTTTTGACTATTTTCAACATTCATTGTAGCATCTCACACTGAAAAAATAAATAGTGAGATCTGGAATGTATATGGAAGAAAAGAAAAATCCATTCTGTTTGGTGGTTGGTAGGGATAAAGCCTTGAGCACTTGATGCTTATACTGTATGTAAACAAACAGAATTTCTTCTGGTAAAAATACCCTTTTTGGCATAAAGAGTATTTTTCGTTTTTATAAGGTGATTGGCATTAGTCTCAAGGATTCGGTTTCTAGTAAAGGCTGGGCTTTCAGACCTGGCTTTTTCAGGGCTGGAACGCTTTTGGCTGGTATACCAGTTTGAATCCCTACCCATAGTTATTTGTCTTTTGGATTTAATAGTTGACCTTCTAACTGAGACTCATTGCTCTACAGTGAAAAAGAGAAAAACGTTTTAATGTCACCTCAAAGAAATGCAGAATGAAGATTGAATGAAATTAATTTGAAGTATCAAACTAGATACGTACAACGAGAAGTGCATTTCTAATCCTTAGTATAAGAGATATGATTTCTGAAACTTAGGATGTTCCATTTAAATGATCAGCCTAAGATTTCAAAATTAGAATCATCTTAAATTTCATTCAAAAAAGTTTAAGTGCCAAAAAAGCCAATAATTATAAAAATGACTTACTAAAGATAAAAAATCCAAAAGTCAAATACTACATTGAAATGTAGTGTTGCTGAGAATTTATACAACCCAGAATGGCTGTAAAGTTTTTAATATCTGGTTTTTGTTTGCTGTATTCGTAAATAACAAGTGCCTTCTATTAATGTAACTTCAAAAAAGCCCTCTCACCCTGTAGTCAAGCTAGAACTGAAAGTTTGTAGCTATCAAATGAATGTCTATCTTGATAAGCATATTGCTTAGCTTGATAGGTTTTGTTTGTCTAAATTTTTCATTGTTTCTGCATAATTTGTACTTCATAAGCATATCAAGTTTTATGTGCCATGCATATTTCATGGTATCTGAAAAGAATTCTGACAAAGTGTGTGTATGTATGCATTTCACAATGCATACAATTTTTATGTGCATCAATACATGTTTTTCCCTGGCCTAAACGTGTTGTTTCACAAGTGTAATGGGTGGCAAGGTTTGCAGATGATAAAGAACATTTTAATTTAAACAATGAACAGAATCAATCTTGGATCTTCATGTTAATGCAGAAATTTTTTCACGGGCAGTAAACAAGAATGATTGCATTTAATAGCTCTATACAGTCACCTCTTGATTATCTATGTTAATGGAATACAAATGGTAACTATAATATTACAATAATTTGTCTTTTGGTTTTGTGTAAGCATTTTGTTCTTAACTTGGATGTGGCTGTGGGGGATTCTCTGTTAAAAATGTGAGATTGTTCGATGGAGACTAGGAAGAGAAAGTGCACTCCCTATCTGAAATCACTCATCTGTTTCTTCTCATTCCTTCTTGGCGAATGTTAAGAACTGAGCATTTGGTGTGGACACTAGCTACATGGTAGATGAAGTATAGAGAGGTGTGGGGCATGGAAAATTTGGTGTTTTGGTCCTTTGTGGAGATTTACTTTGTATTATTGTCCTCTTAACACCAGGTTGAAGTGTAATCAAACTGCTATATGAAGAAGGGCCTAGAAAATGTGGAGGTTTTACACTGCTTGCCCTGTTTTCTATATCTAGTTTAAGCTGTTAGGACTCAGTGGCTCTGATTTTGACCATAATAAAAGCATTTTGATTTTCATAAAAGCATTGTGACCCTAGTTATGCATTACTTTTGGGGGTGAGGAGAAGCTCCCATTTGGTATTATTGTGTGCATATTGTGTTAGTGGCTTTCATGAGTCTGTGAAGCCCTGTCCAGTAGCTTCTGGTAGGCTGTAGAGAACATTGGGTTTCCCTGGTGACTCCAGTATACTTGGATAGTTCTCAGACAGTAAATACTTTATATAGCATGTCAAGACCTTTTGGAGTGCTTATGATAGCTACAAGATGGAATTCATTCCTAGTCAGTTCTTCATTCAGATGATGATTAGCATTCTCTTAAGTATAGGTGTGAAAACACATTGAGACAAAAATGTCTTTAAAAATAGCCTGTTTCTGTACATTAATAGAAATTCTGTCCCAGAAGAAAGCTCTTAAATAAGTTCCTGCTAGAGAAACAGCTGAGAATTACAAAAGAAACAACAACAAAAAACTGAGTAGCCAAGATAAATTTCACAAAATCATGAATTTTATTCATAGGTGATTTCCTAAGACCTTGCTCTTCTGTAAGCCCAGTTCTACCCACCTCTCCATTGGAAATTGAAAGCAGAAAATTGAAAAGAGAGTTGCTGCTAGAGGTGGATTTCCTGATAGTAGCAAGGAAAGAAACAGTTCAAAAATGGAAACACATTCTCCAAAAGCATAGCCATAGGCCACTGAAAGAGCCAACAACAGATTTTCGCATTTCACACACCCGACAGAAGGTTACAGCACAGCAAAACAGTGGTTGTTTACAATTGAATCTTATCCAGAAAGGGTCTAAAGTATGTTCAACTTTTTTTTTACAGAAATGTTTAAGACATTGTAGAAAGATGTCTGTCTGAGACATTAAATAAATTGGAGGTGTGTAATGATATAAATCTTTACTATCCTGCAAACCATCTGGAATTTTAACTTTATTATTGTTTTGGGGTGTTTTTTTAGTTTGGGTTTTTTTGTTGTAAGTTGACTGGTCTCAATATATAGATGATATGTGTACCTTTCTTTGGGAGAAAGGAAGAGAAATAGCAAATCCATTAATATAAATGTGATTCTTTGAAAAATATCAAAGCAAATACTACTATGTTTTTAAAGTGTTTTAATTCATACTTAAAGCTCGAAAGCATAGGCATTTTAGAATTCTTTACCTCTTTAATTTCAAAAAAAATTTGACAGTAGTCTTAACCACCTCAATTATGGGCACAATTCCAACCTTATTTGTAACCCATTTCATGGAATTCTGAAGGTTTGTGTTGGATATGAGTTGGAAATGCTTTCTAATAACTATGTGTGAAGAAGCAGACTTGTGTGTGTCTGTTCCTCTGAATCCGTAAGGTTAGTCTTAGAGGAATTCCCTTTCCCCTTAAAAGAACTTGTACAAACCCTGATACAGGTTTCCCTTTATTGGCTGCTACCCCACCACTTTTGATAGTTTCCATGCCCCCTGGCCATCTTACTCTCTTACCCACTGCTGGCCAAAAACAGTGTCTGTCTACCTGGGCACTAGCATGAGGTGTAGTAAGAATGCATGGAAGGAATGGAAAGAGAGGAAATACTGCTTCCAAGGCGAAATGCTTTCTAATAACTTCATATATGAAGAAATAGAGTTACAGGGATGGAGAGAGACCCTTGTAGGAAGAGGAAACATTTCTTGATCATAGTGGAAAAGGACACAAACATGCTAATCCCTGAGCCCTCAAATGAAAAATAAGGTTATGATTGGGGTCCCAGCCCAGAGTGGAGGAGTATCTCTGGGGTTTTATCATAGCAACAACAGAAGGGGAAGCGAACAAAATGTTACTTTAGTTTTCTTATAGGGATTTGCCAATCCTGTCTTTTGATAATTAGAATAAAGCCAGCACTTCATTTCTCCAGCCTAGCAGGGAGAGTCAATATTAGAGGAGATCTCCTGAAAATTTGCAAATTGTCTGAAATAGCAATGATTTTTCTTATTCTGGGTCTTTAATCAAATGCAGTCATGTATATTAAGAGGAGACTAAAAAGTTCAGAAATAAATACTTTTAGATGGGTGTTATCTGGGTGGTCTACCAGAAGCTGTCTGGAATCTCACCTAGACTTTAGACCACAGGAAAAACTGATCACTTTATCTTTCTCTTTCCTTCTTTTTTTATTTTTTCTCTCACCTATTTTTGCTTTACCTTTTTAAAAAATATTTTTCAGTCTTCCCTCCCCCTCCTTTTCTTCTTTCTTTTCCTGCACATCACATCTTTCCTTTTCCTCTGTCTTTCCCATAAAACCAAACATTTTTAATGGAATGGAACTTCTTGATACAACACCTCAAAAATAACAATCAGGCCCCATATCTGCCACTTCTCTGTTCCGGATAAACTTGTTTGCTTTTACACTGTGATTAGGACTAAGGACACAAAAAGGTGTGACTTTCATTCACACTTCTCCTTCCCCTTTACAAGAAAACCACTAGGTAACAGACAGAACCTTAAGAGAAATAAAATCTCTAGCCTGGCAAAGGAGGTAAAGTGGTTTGTTATTTCACTAATTGTTTTTGAACCTGAGAAGTTGTTTTTGTGGTGATATTGGGAGTACATTCCTGACATAGTGCTAATAGGTTAAGGCCCCTGTAGACAGTGTGAGAATGGTAAGTGTTAAGGGTTCAGATCCTGCTGCAGATAATCAAGTGTTGACTGTATGTGTAATGGTAATTGAGCAGAATGAGAGGGTGCCAGGTAATGTCCTGAATGTGAGACGGTTGATATATAACCATATATTTTCAATGTATGGGTTACTATGTAATATTTTATTTGTTCCTGCAGCCAGGTTGTCAAAGCATTGGCAATAAACTGCTAAGTAAAACATTTAAAAAGTTTGTGCTTAAAGTCATTTTCTTTTGAACATTTCTGAATTTGCAGTGATAGCTATTTTCAGTGGAGAAAATATTTGGACGAGTAGAAGAAAGGCGCATTAGAATTTTTTAAGGGACTCTCTTTTCAGTTTGCCGGTGAACTCCTTACAGCTGAATAATGAATGTATTTAACTCTTTTGTAGGCATCCTCTGGTATTACGATTCCAAAACCCCCAAAGCCACCAGATAAGCCGCTGATGCCCTACATGAGGTACAGCAGAAAGGTAGGCGCTTAGGACCTGGAAAGGAATGAGGACACTGTCTTTGCTGCTTCTTTCTTTGCATCCAATTTTAGATTGGCTTAGCCAGCTTTTCTGTGCATATTCGGAGGAAAGGACCGAAAAAATACAGTTTTTAAGGCAATTAGTTCTGATTTCAGAATTCCAGAACTAAAATCCAACAAGAGGAGCATGATTAAATAAACTGTTAAAATCCTTAAGATAGAATGTTCTGTGGCCATTAAAGTCATGTCTTTTGGAGAATATTTAATGACATGAGGAAAATATTAAGTGAAGGAGGACTACAAAACTACATGAATTAATATCTCATTTTTATAAAAATGATGGCAACCATATGTTAGTTTGAAGGGGGAAAACACAGAAGACAGAAGAAAACACAGAAAACACAGATAACCTTAAAGACAGGTTATCTCTAAGCAGTAAGCTTATGGTAGTTTTTATTTTCTTTTCCTCAAGTTTTACTTTTTTTTTTTTTTTTTTTGGTGATGAACTTACGTTACTCTTAAAATTAAAAAAATAGCCAATATCTTTATTAAAAGGCAGAGCATTATAACTACTATCTAGAAATTGTAAACCTTTTGATCTTGACTATTACATTGGTTTTTGATAATATGATGTATTGTGTTATGCAAATTAAGCACTTCTAAGTTCACGTGAACTTTTAGTGACATAGACTGTGTTATTGAAGTAATTCATCTTAAGTGTCTGTAGTGATTGGAGATATTCTTGCATATCACATTGAAGTATTTATAAGTGAGTGACATGATGTCTGAGATCTATCTTAAAATAATCCAGTAGGGCAAAGATAACCTGAGGTTGGTCAGTCGTTGATCATTGTTGAAGTAGGCTGATGAGTACATAGAAATTTGATACTGTTGTCTCTGCTTTTTATGTTCAAAAGTTTCCATATTAAAAAGCATTTTTAAAGGTCTATACATTTAGACATCAGTATTAACATTTCATCTGTTTTCTTTTTAAGGTCTGGGACCAAGTAAAGGCTTCCAACCCTGACCTAAAGTTGTGGGAGATTGGCAAGATTATTGGTGGCATGTGGCGAGATCTCACTGATGAAGAAAAACAAGAATATTTAAACGAATACGAAGCAGAAAAGGTAGGATAGGGGCTCACAGTGGGATAGATAATGTGTAAAGTACAAAAACACTGGCTTACTATTTATAAAAGAAACATAAGATTTGGTCAGAAGGCTGATGCTGTACTGAGGCTTTGTCTACCTGAGTCAAGTCAATTTCTCAAGGCCTCAGATTTCTTGTCCGTAAAAAGGAGATAATTATCCGAACACCCTGTTTACATCATATCTTTTGATATTCAAATGAGATAACATAAGTCTGCATTATAACCTGTAAAATGTTAATTATAAAACCAAAAAACATTTGAATTTCAGATAGAGTACAATGAATCTATGAAGGCCTATCATAATTCCCCCGCGTACCTTGCTTACATAAATGCAAAAAGTCGTGCAGAAGCTGCTTTAGAGGAAGAAAGTCGACAGAGACAGTCTCGCATGGAGAAAGGGGAACCGTACATGAGCATTCAGCCGGCTGAAGATCCAGATGGTAAAAGAAAAAAAGTGGGGTTTTGTTTATGCTTTCTCTGAGAGTTAGGATATGAGTAATCTCTTAGGTGTGTTTTATTTCTTATCCTAAATGGAAAAGAAAGCATAATTTATGTGTCACCTCAGTATTTTGCTTATATTGAGTAAGATTTGTATGTGAATTTCCCACAAGAAAAAGAAATATCCTTTTGAGTGCAGAAAATGGCAAAAATTATTTATTGTTTATCAAAATCTTTGTACTCAAAATGCATGAAAGGTTTTTAAATCACAATCAGGATTTTGCCTCATCTGCTTTTACAAAGCTAAATGCATTCTAGTTATATCCTGTTTTCTTACTGGTTCACTAAATTCGCTGAATTAGAGGCTCTTAAGGGAGAAGCTAATGAGTATGTGGAAACATTATGAAGTTTCCTTTCCATTTAATTCAGAAATCCAATAAGAATGTATAAATATAGCTCATGCTACTACTTTTATGGGTGTACATGAGGGTACACCCATACAAATTTTATACATGCACACGACTAGCAGAGCTTCCTAATTGCCGTTCTGTATGAGTAGTTAGCAGGTGTGCTGATTGTTCTGGTCTTGTGCAGCCAGGCAGGGTCTGAAGCTGCAAGGAGACCCAGAGATAGCCATTTGCAGTGTGAACACACTCAACCACATATTTAATGTGCTATATAAATACTAATAGTTTCTCTGTGTACTGCTATGATGTGCAAAAGGTTAGAAGCTCTAGCTACAAGTGACAAAAACATCAGGAAAATGATTTAAGATCCCATCTTAAAGTTGCAGTAACAAAGAGGAAGGCTATAAGAACTTTAAAGACAGTATCAATGAGGGAGGAAGCAATAATAGCACCTGAAGACAAGAATAAGTTGATAAAAGTGGGGAAAAACAGAAATCATTTTTTAAAATAATGGACTGGAATATTGTCAAATGTTCTCATAAATACAGACAGTGGAATGTAACACTATAGAGAATAGAATATGGAATAGAAACAGTATTGAGTGTTAAACAGAATCAGCAGTGCTAAAGACACACTAGCATCCTCACACTGTAATTACTCAAATGGGATGATTAATGCAAGAGAAACATACAGAAGATGATCCAGGCTACAGATATTGGGAGGATGGGGGTCAGTACAAGAGGAAACAAAGGCTAGCAACGTAAGTAGAAAATAACTAAAGCTTTCATTAACACCATGAACATTCAGAAGGACTGAAGAGATTCACTCAGAAACAGTCTCAAACTTGGGCCTATTATGTTTTTAACTTTAAGGGTGGGTCTTAAAGTTGCTAGTAAGTAAGTTCAGGTAGTAATTAAGATGCCAGTATGAGAATGTCTTTAGCATGCCAGTATGAAAATGATTAGAGGAAGACTTGGGAGGTGGAAATGTATGTCAAATGTACATAAGAGAAAGGTGGCATCTGCATGAAGTACAGCAGCTACTGACTTCTTTAACAGAGGACTATCAAAAGATAGACATGACCAGGCGCCATGGCTCACGCCTGTAATCCCAATACTTTTAACTAAAGCAGGAGGATTGCTTGTGGCCAAGAGTTTGAGACCAGCCTGGGCAACACAGCAAGACTCTATCTCTACAGAATACTTAAAAATTAGCTGGGCATGGTGGCTTGTGCCTGTAGTCCCAGCTGCTCCAACTGAGGCTGAGGTGGGAGGATCAATTGAGCCCAGGAGTTCGAGACTGCAGTGAGCTATGATCATGCCACTGCCCTCCATCCTGGATGACAGAGCAATACCCAGTCTCAAAAAAAAAAAAAAAAAAAGAGGGCATGTGCAATTATCTACACAAGACAATGAAGGCTTTTGTTCAATGAGAGCCTCTTCATGGGATAAATAGCTGTTCAATTAGATCATAATTAGAAAAGCCATTCCCCGAAAAAAGGAAGCAGATGACTTACATGCAAGGAAGAACAAGCCCAAATTCTTAGACCTTATTACCCCATCTGTGGTCAACACTGGGGCCATATAAATGAAAGAAGAAAATAAAAAATAACAAAAACAGATAACTTAGACAGACGTAGCACAGATATACCACATATAACCCTAAAGGTGAAAAACTCTTAAAAAGTAGAAAGATTACAGAGTTTTTAAAAAACTGTATCTTACCTAATAGTTTTAATTTCAGAAGTTTATTTCCTAAAGGAATTACTCAAAAGGAAAGAAAAGTAATTTTTTTAACTTTTTACAAAAACAACAGTTTTTAGCTATAGTATTTATGATAATGAGAATTTTAGGAACTGCTTAAGTGCAAGACAATAAGAGAGGTGCTAAACTGACATAGGAGCACCACAAAGGCCTCTAACAGGGTTCCCTCTAACAGGCTTTCCTCTGTAACAGGCTTCCCTCTGTAACGGGGTTTCCTCTGTAACAGGGTTCCCTCTGTAACGGGGTTTCCTCTGTAACAGGGTGTCCTCTGTAACAGGCTTCCCTCTGTAACGGGCTTCCCTCTGTAACGGGCTTCCCTCTGTGACGGGCTTCCCTCTGTGACGGGCTTCCCTCTGTGACAGGCTTCCCTCTGTAACAGGCTTCCCTCTGTGACAGGGTGTCCTCTGTAACAGGCTTCCCTCTGTGACAGGGTGTCCTCTGTAACAGGGTGTCCTCTGTAACAGGCTTCCTTCTGTAACGGGCTTCCCTCTGTAACGGGGTTTCCTCTGTGACGGGCTTCCCTCTGTGACGGGCTTCCCTCTGTGACAGGCTTCCCTCTGTAACAGGGTGTCCTCTGTAACAGGCTTCCCTCTGTAACAGGCTTCCCTCTGTAATGGGGTTTCCTCTGTGACGGGCTTCCCTCTGTGACGGGCTTCCCTCTGTGACGGGCTTCCCTCTGTGACAGGGTTCCCTCTGTGACAGGCTTCCCTCTGTGACAGGGTTCCCTCTGTGACAGGGTTCCCTCTGTGACAGGGTTCCCTCTGTAACGGGCTTTCTCCTCTGTAACGGGCTTTCTCCTCTGTAACGGGGTTTCCTCTGTAATGGGGTTTCCTCTGTAACAGGGTTTCCTCTGTAACAAGGTTTGCTCAAGTATGGTTCCTCCCTGTCTGGTGGGACACTGAGGTGATTAAGTGGGTCAAAAAGGAGCATTTGTTTTGTATGTATTGCTACAGAGAAAGCTTTTTTTTTTTTAAATGAGTTAGTTTAAAGAAAAATATTAAGTAAACAATAGTACAGGCTGTTAGTAGATATATGAAAAACTATGAAGGCGATAGAGCAAAGACTGAGATTAAGGAAACACTAGATACCTATTAAAAATAAGCATATAGGGTGTGCGCAGTGGCTCACACCTGTAATCCCAGCACTTTGGGAGGCCAGGATGGGCGTATCATGTGAGGTCAGGAGTTCAAGACCGCCCTGGCCAACATGGTGAAATCCTATCTCTACTAAAAATACAGAAATTGGCTGGGCATGGTGTCATGTGCCTGTAATTCCAGCCACTTGGGAGGCTGAGGCACAAGAATCGGTTGAACCCGGGAGGTGGAGGTTGCAGTGAGCCGAGATTGGGCCACTGCACTCCAGCCTGGGTAACGGAGTGAGATTCTGTCTCAAAACAAAACAAAACAGAAGCATATAAACCAGACCCGTACAGCTGGCTAAGTGTAAACTGACAAAAATTAAATTTGGAATCAAAACATTTATTTTTCTTCTATAAAATTCCTTGAGGGCCCGGGAAACTGAATATTGTTAGAGATGATGTTTCCTCTGCTGTGATAATTTTACAAACTGGCATTTTCATAAAGTCACTGCCCAGTTCATATGTTGTTCGTTAGTTGTTAAATGCCTTAAGTCACTACCAAGAAAGTGAAACATTGGGCAGAATTTCAATTACTGCCATCACATGCAGCTTTCACATTGATTCCAAAGCCAGAAGAGACATGTTGTATCTCATTTATGTTTTAGCCAAAGCCTTCTCAGACACACATCATCACTTAAAGACTGTGAGATAAATTACTACCTTGGCCAGTGAACACATTACGTCCTCTGTATGGTTTTTATCAAGTAACTGCCCAGTGCTCCCATGACGCTGGTCAGGTCCCCTTGTTAGGCCAGCAAGGGCCATGGTTCCTTGATAATTAAGTGTTAACATGTTACACTCCTTTTTATGGTTACTGGTGACCTACTTTGCAGAACAATTTGTTCATTGCAGATTATGATGATGGCTTTTCAATGAAGCATACAGCCACCGCCCGTTTCCAGAGAAACCACCGCCTCATCAGTGAAATTCTTAGTGAGAGTGTGGTGCCAGACGTTCGGTCAGTTGTCACAACAGCTAGAATGCAGGTCCTCAAACGGCAGGTCCAGTCCTTAATGGTTCATCAGGTAAAGTCATAAAACTTTCAATAAAATGGACCTATACCACAAATCCCAGCTGACGTGATTCCTACACCATGCCTAAATGTACCTGTTAAATATGTCAGTCTAAACTGTTCCTGATTTGGAGAAGAGGTTTAAGGAAGTGGACCTTTCCCAAATGTTTAATAAGTTTGTCATTAAAAACTATAATATAGAACCTTGTAATGGAAGGTATATTTGTTAAGAAGTACATGTGAACTTAAGAATTTTGAGGCGTCCTATCAGTCTTTACTGCTCTACTAAATACTTGTTCCAAAGGAATTGCTCAGGCCTGAAACAGTATTCTTTAACATTTACCTATTGATCATAATCATTTCTTTGTGCTGCATTTTGTATTTTTTAAATCTTAGCTAGACTCATGTAATAAATGATCTAAAGTTCAAAACATTATTTGGTACACTGTTTGAAAGTATGAACCATTAAAACAGGAGATATGATTGTAAAGCCTGATCCTGTCTTGCAGCGAAAACTAGAAGCTGAACTTCTTCAAATAGAGGAACGACACCAGGAGAAGAAGAGGAAATTCCTGGAAAGCACAGATTCATTTAACAATGAACTTAAAAGGGTATCTGTTTAATATGTTAACTATACTTTTATCACCGTACCTGTTACTTTACTTTTCCTCATTCTTTTTTCCAAAATAGTATTTTTATTGAATGTTGTTCACTTTGAAACAGGGCTAACTTTACTATAAAACCTGTAAGATCTTTTTTTTTTTATAAAATTGTTCCCATTCTCTTGACAAAATTGCAATAAATTTGAAATATCATGAAGTATATGCATATCTACTAGGCCTATAAATGCTAGAGCCCTCTGATATTTTAAACTCCCATACAGTCATTAACTACTTTCATTTTATTGTGATTTATTCATCAAATGTCTTCATTAAATGTAATTTATAGTTTGCACTTTGCATTCAGACAAGGAAATCTAGTTGGTAGCCCAGAATGTAAAATGGAAGCCTTATGTATACCCCAGAATTTTCACTATTTTGCCTCACCAGCTGCTCTGGAATATCCCATATTATATGACTGCTAGAGCAGTTTTCTTTTCTTGTAGACCCAAGAGTTTCAGAGAAGACCTAGAACCACATTTTTTTGCGCACATACACAGACACACAGGTGTATAGATATATATATAGTTCATAGGCAAGGAAACCAACTTTTGAAAGAATATATCTGGCTCAGAAATTATAAGGAAAAACATTACCGAGTTCTGTTTTTTTCTGACTAGTTGTGCGGTCTGAAAGTAGAAGTGGATATGGAGAAAATTGCAGCTGAGATTGCACAGGCAGAGGAACAGGCCCGCAAAAGGCAGGAGGAAAGGGAGAAGGAGGCCGCAGAGCAAGCTGAGCGCAGTCAGAGCAGCATCGTTCCTGAGGAAGAACAAGCAGCCAACAAAGGCGAGGAGAAGAAAGACGATGAGAACATTCCAATGGAGACAGGTAACCCACTAGCAACAAACGCAAAGGAAGTGCCAAGACTTTGTATGGCTGTCTTTAATTTAGGTTTTTCTTTCTAAGTGCAGGTATTCTGGTACCTGCCACTGAGGGTGATTCCGAGTACTAGATTTGACATGATACTGACATTCAAAATTTTAACCTTTAATGCTTACATTATTTATCAAGATGTGGTTATTACTGTTAAGATTAATTGTCTTTGGTGTCCTAGGACAGCATTCTGCAAAGTAATACCTGTAAGGCAATCCTGCCCATCACTTGTTTTTGTAAATAAAACTGGAACACAGCCACACTTGTTTGTTTACATACTGTCTGTGGCTGCTTTGGGGCTAAAACAGTATAGTTGAGTAGTTGCAGCAAAAACTGCCTGACCTGCGAAGTCTAAAATATTTTCTGTCTGGCTCTTTACAGAAAAAAATTGCCAGCTCTATCCTAGAAAAACCCTTACTTCTAGGTATACTGATTTTCCTGATTAAAAGCATCCCTCAAGGTAAAAAAATAAAATTAAAAATAACTTGTATAAATAAAACTTACATCAAGTACTGATTACATTGATCATCACTTGTAATTTTGAGATCACCTTACCTCATAGCACTGTTTTGACACTGCCTAGTACACTGTGTAAACAGGACTCAGCTAAAAGTAGTTATGGAAAACAAAACCAAAGGCTTCCTGGAGCATCGTTGAAAGAAGTGGGAGGGACAGTAGTGATACTTGGTTCTCAAATGACAACCTCCAAGTGCCATACTTTGTACTCAAATGACAGCCATCTGGAAAACATGAATGGAATATAGATATCTTTCCCAGGTATTTCTGCAAAATTTAATCCAGCAGATTAACATTTTAAATAGTCATATTTTAAGTTTCACTATCTGAGTCTCTTTCTGTTTTGTATGAACGTGAATTCATTCATCTTAATGAATTTGGAGCATGAGCACATTTTTGTGGTTAAAACAAAAGCTTGCAAAATAAAATACTGATTTTTGCTAATTTTACAACTAGACGAACACTCAGTCGTTTGCCTCTGTTTTGGCATCTATGAATGGGGCATGTCTTATGCTTAAGGTTTGCAGGTCTTTACTCAGGTTCTGTCCTCCTAGTTCAAGGAAAAAATCTGAAGAAAATTGTTTGAGACTATTAGAGCCAAAACCTCATGCTTTTAATTTCTTACAGGAAACAGCCCAGCATGACTTTAAACAAAGTGTCTAAAAGATCAACCTTGTATTATTTCTACAACTGCTTTCTCCTTGTTTAATCCATAACACTACAGACTAACGCTCATTCACTGTCCAATAGAAATAAAATGCAAGTCACATGTGAAATTTTACACTTTCTACTAGTAACATATTTTTAAAAGTTAAGCCAAACAAGTGTTTTAACAGTATGTTTTATTTAATTCAACATATATTAAATAAAATTATTTCAACACGGAAGGAACATTTTTAAAATCAGCTTTCCTTTTTTTAAATAGTCTTCAAATCCAATGTATATTTTATACTTTTATACACATCTCAAGTCAGAAGCTAAATTTTCATCAGAAGTATTTGATCTGCATTTATTTAATAAATTTCATTAATTTACAGCTAAAAAGTAGATTTTTCATACCCAAATTGTTCCAACATTCTTAAAAGTTCTTTAGTCACACTGGCTCATTTCAGGGGTTTAATAACCACATGTGGCTAGTGGCTACCATATTGGACAGCACAGCTGTATACTGTCAGCTTAACTAGAGTAGAATTTCATCTTGGAACTGACAGTGACAAATGTGTGATTACAGAGGAGACACACCTTGAAGAAACGACAGAGAGCCAACAGAACGGTGAAGAAGGCACGTCTACTCCTGAGGACAAGGAGAGTGGGCAGGAGGGGGTCGACAGTATGGCAGAGGAAGGAACCAGTGATAGTAACACTGGCTCGGAGAGCAACAGTGCAACAGTGGAGGAGCCACCAACAGATCCCATACCAGAAGATGAGAAAAAAGAGTAAATGTTGCCTTGTTTTATGTGTTCTAAATACTTTTTTAAATGAAAAAATGTTTTTTGGTTTTAATGGTGTTATGTGGTTTGTGTATTAATTTTTTTCTTGTCCATATCACACCACCAAAGGCTTTTGGACCATTTAGCATCATGAGCCTAATGGCACAGTCAGTCACCTTTCTTAAGTGTTGTGAAGATGGCTCTTTTCTTTGGATCTTGTTTCTAGCCCTCAACTGCTGAAAGCCTCAGAATTTAGGTTAATTGAGAAAACACCCACCTCTTTTAGAGAATTATCCTTTGATGCTGCAGAATCTACTCTTACAATGCCTTCCTACAGCTCACTGGGGTGCTTACCAAAGCCATAGCTTTAAACTTTCCCAATCCCCATCAACAGCTTCCTGAAAGTTTCCTCTCTTGTTTACTTCTGCAAAGGGTAGCTTCTTAAAAACGTGATCATGTATGAGTAAGTATTTGTTCACTTACCCTTTTTTACTTTTAATCAATGTCAGATACCAAGAGTTGTGTTAAGAAGTTGAGTGTAGCTGCAACTACGCGTGGATCTTACTGATCCAGAAATAGTCCCCATAGTTAGAGTAGTTACTTATGAAATGGTCATTAAAGTGAACACAGCACATATACATTATCTGTACTGCTTTTTGTTATGATTAATATTGGGTATGTTCTGGTAAATCCATCCTTATTGTATAGAAAGAAAATTACTTTTTTACCAGGTTTTCCAAAGACAGAATAGATCACAAAGCTCAAGGAATTTAATATTCTTGTAATGGACTAGATAATTCAAACTGATTAGCCCATTTCTGAAGAAAAACAGCTGGGAATTAAGTTAATCCACTTGAAATTGTTTTACAATAATCAGAACATTCAAAACCTCAAGGCTCGGGATCCCATAGATCAGAGCCCACCTTTTTGATAAACTCTTAAAGTCTTGGAGACTAGAAGCAAGATAGTTTGTGACACATATGCTTCCCAAAAACTAGAATAGATTTTTACTGAATAGTGGTATATCTGATGGTATATGTTTCTTAAAGGTCCAAATGTAATAAAAAAAAAAAAAAATGAAGAAAAAGGTCTCAGTGTTTTTAATGCACTACGTAGTTGTATGCAAGACAGGCATCCAGTTTTTTTCTGTAATGCAGTGACAGTGTGGAATGACCACTCAGCCATTATGAATTTGTGTACTCAGGGCCCTTGTCTCACCCAACTGTCTCGATAAACTGCTGCAATAGTTTATTTGTACAAGACACTTGTGAAAATCACTTTTCTTACATTATAGTCAATGTCACATATGGAAGTTGGTCTTTGACTCCAAAAGTAAAGGGAATATGAAAAAATCTGTAACGTTTGAACTATCTTTGAAAAAATGGCTATGTAATAAATGTAAGTCCTGTGCTTATATGGAGAGAACTCTGTACCAGCATGAGTTAATTTATAGTGAATTCACTGCTATTCAGTTCATAGCACATTAGTGACTAGGAATCTATGTTCAGCTTCCTGAGAGGAGGGGAGGAAGTTTGATGTTGGGTGGAAACGACTCTTGACATCTGTTTCCTTGTGCGTCACAAAGAACGAATTCGTATCAAATCTGTTGAGCTTTGGCCATTATATGGCTAAGAACTTCAGCCATCTCAGACGAATTGGACAGCCTCTTTGATACATTTTCTAGTAGTCAAAATGGGGCATATGTAGTATAATATGGGTGGAAAACAGTGCCCCAGCAAGATACCAAGTTATTTTCTGTGGTATGGAAAGCTCTAAGAGAATGGAAGTGGTTCTTTAGCCCAGCTGGAAATAGCACTGGGAAAACAAGTGTATCCAGACCAAGCCTGCCCATACAACCCTGGCAACTGGTTGATGAGGGAATTAAGTCAGATGGGAGATGGGATTTTTTTTTTTTTTTTAAGTTGGAGTCTCCATCTGTTGCCCAGGCTGGAGTGCAGTGGTGGCGATCTTGGCTCACTGCAACCTCCGCCTCCCAGGTTCAAGCAATTCTCCCTGCCTCAGCCTCCAGAACAGCTGGGATTACAGGCTCTCGCCACCATGCCCAGCTAATTTTTGTATTTTTTAGTAGAGACGGGGTTTCACCATGTTGGCCAGGCTGATCTTGAACTCCTGACCTCCGGTGATTTGCTCACCTTGGCCTCCCAAAGTACTGGGATTACAGGGATGAGCCACCGTGCTCGGCCTCAGTTGGGATTTGACAGCTCTGAACCTCAGCAGGGGAAGACTGAAGTAAAAATCCACTTTGTCAGAGTGATATATGTAGACTTGTTTGAGATGGTTGTCAGTTTAGAGAATGTGGGATGTAGTAGAGGTCTTTGTTTTGTTCCCATGTCCCAACAGGCACTGGGGCAAGTTACTTAAACTCTTGAGCCTGTTTTAATTATAAAATAGATCAAACTGCTCTCTTTCTCGGTGCCCTTACTGCTCCTTGATTTTTAGTGCATTTATTTTGAGTATGAATGCAGAAAGTCTGAGGGCCTAAATTTTATTAATTTTTAACAAATGGGAGAGAGGAATCCTTGATAGTCCCCCAATCAACTTTCCTTTTGTTTTGAGAATGAGTCTTGCTCTGTCGCCCAGGCTGGAGTGCAGTGGCACCATCTCGGCTCACTGCAACATCCAGCTCCTGGGTTCCAGCAATTCTCCTTCCTCAGCCTCCTGAGTAGCTGGGATTACAGGTGCCCGCCACCATGCCCGGCTAATTTTTGTATTTTTAGTAGAGTCAGGGTTTTCCTTGTTGGCCAGGCTGGTCTTGAACTCCTGACCTCCTGATCTGCCCTCCTCTGCCTCCCAAAGTGCTGGGATTAGTTTTCTAACAGGAATTTTAAAGTCTGTAACTTCTCCTGTCTATAAATAAGGCTGTCTTTTTAAATGACTCTCCTACAGGATGTGATAATTATGTATTCTATAAAGCCGAGATTTGGAGAGAGGTAAATAGCTATTTCACATTAATACAATAATGTAAATGCCCTATGGAAAAGATACAATACTTGGACTATGTTTTAAAGGGGAATCTGGGGTCTTGCGTATTGAAGTTTAACTAGATCCCTCCAGATTTCTGGTTTTGATCCTACACTTTTAGGTACTAGTTTTGGATTTTAGACAGTTGGTGCTGACGGTGTGAAACTTCTATTGCCTGCAGTTAAATTGAAGCTTTGGTTTCTTATGTGAACAGGCAGTGAAGCTGGGATTATACTTTAAGTCCTCATTTCAGAAATAGTTTCCCTCCATCCGCAAGCACTACCACACATGGTCTCCCCACCTAGTTTCAGCTAGTGCATTAGTTTTATCTTGTTTTTTACCGCTGGGCAAACCTTGCTGGAACAACAACTGACTTCATGATTTGCACATTTGGAGGGCTTAATGTCTTTGCAAATGAAAAATCCACTGTGCATTAACAAGCTCAAAGGAACTCGGAGCCTTTTTAGAAGAAATCATCCTCAATTATAATGTGGCTTACTGCAATAATGTTTCTTTGATCAGGATGGAAAGGAAAATACTTGAGTTTAGCAGAACACTTTTTGGTGTCTAAATGTATTTGTAATGATACAATTGTTTATCAGTGTTTTAGATTGAACCATAAGACATTGCCAGTGTACGATTTCATCTACAAAATGACAACTTCACCTGGCTTAACCTAAATTCTGCATTTTGTACTCCAAGAATAAGCTCTTCATGGCAGCTAAGTGTGAAATGATGGAACTTTCTATTTGCCAGAATGACCTACACTTCTCTAATAGTTTATCTCACATTGTTAGCCAAACGCTGATTAAAACGCAAATCTCAAACTATTGACTTTTTAAGAGCCTGATGTTTAAAATACGCTGTGGTGAACTTATAGTTAAACTAGCTCATTTATGTTCACACATTTTCTCATTTAGCACCAGAAAGTTTCTTACAGCTCTTTTGCATGCATTCAGGAGTAAAAAGCATTATATGGGGAGGGGAAATTCCCAAATGATAAAAGCTTTTTACCTAAAAGTGAGACAGTAACTGCAGATAATGGCTCCCTTTGAGGAGGCACTTGAAAGAACGGAAAGGCTGCCTTAAACTCCTTGACTTTAAGGGGCAGCAAGGACCCTCGGTCAGCCACCTCCACACCCGTCTAGCACTTGGTCCCAGGTGCCCATAGGCGTCATGGCTCTGCTTAAATAAATACCTCTAATCCTGGGGAGTCCATCATCTCTTAAGATAGCTCATTCCTTCTTTAGTTCACTAAAGGTATTTCCTCTCACCGAGCTAAAATCTGTCTTCCTATAATTTCAGCCACCCTCTTACACACCTTGAAGTCAATTAGAGTACGTGTCACCACCTTCCAAGTAAAAGATCTTCAAATATTTCAAGACATGTGCCCCTTGAGATCCTTTCAGAAGACAATTTCCATTTTCTTTTTTAGAATTTTTAATTTTTTAATGTCCAGAAAAATTTGGAACATAGATAGTTTACATTCTCATTGTCCTGTTGTCTCCCCTCCAATGTGTCTCTCCTGGGATAAAAGGACTGTCTCTTTTCAAACACGTTTTTCTCTAATCTGGTAAAGTGTTTCCTCCCCAGTGTATTGTACTTGAGACACAACATCTCCAGATCATGGAAACCATCTGCCTAAAATACAGGGGTGGTCCCATGATGACCTCAAGGTCCTGTACAGCACAGAAGTTTTGTAACTGTACTACAGATTCGAGCTCCATGAAATGAGTGTTGATGAATGTTTTCAGATGTAGCACAACGAGGAGGACACAGGTTCAGTTCACTGAGTTAGTACTTCTCAAACTCAATCATTTGCATGCCACCATCACAATTTTTACCGTTTCTGGGTACGACTTGTGCTATTATTACTTAGCAGCTTTCTTTGAATCAGCTTCTTCCACTTGAATGACTTATTTTAAAGGGAAACTGTGTATCAGCATAAATGTTAAAACCGTTGTCTTTTGTCAAAAAAGAAAAACCTTAACACAAATATTTTAGTAGTTCTGTTTAGACTTAAATATGTACTATGTAAAAGAGTATTATTTAAGGCCAAGTGTGGTGATTCATATCTGCAATCTCAGCACTTTGGGAGGCCGAGGCAGGAGGATCACTTGTGGTCAGAAGTTCAAGACCAGCCTGGGCAACATAGCAAGATCCTGTCTCTATTTTTTAAATAAAGTTTTTTTTAAAAAAAAAAAAAAAAAAAAAAAAAGAACATTCTTTAAATGGTCTTTGTACTACCCAAAATCATCCCAAGGATCCCACGTGGTGGTCTGGATAACACACATGGGAGAAGACAACAGTAATGGGAAGGGCTATCTCCTGCTACCTGCAGTTGCAGGAGGTTTGTGTTTTTAGAAACTATCCCTGGGTCAACAGCGGCTTATAACTCAAGGGCAAATTCGGAAAGTTAATGCCATGATCACCTAATAATAATAAAAGCCAACATTTGTTGAGCACTTACTATATGCTCATGCACTTTTTATACTTTTTATTTTCTAATCCCTGAAGTTAATATTAGAGTAGATCACTTTACCAATGCAGTTTATATTTATGATCTTGGGCCTGAGTTGATCAATCAACTCCTACAAACCATTTTTCCTGGAGAGAGGAAAATTAGCCTCAGGCTGTTGTACAAGAGATTAAATGACATCAAGATTGAACATCTGTGCTAGGGATTTCATCATTGTGGATCAATAATTCAAAAGACTCAAGACAAAAGTATCCACTCGGAGATCAGTGTTCTTGCAATGGGAGATGTATATGGAAAAACTATTCCCTTTGTAATCCTTTCCTTCTTCCCTCCAAAGCTCTCCATACCACCAAAATGAAAAAGTACACACACACACAAACACACAGACTTAAATAATTTGTGTGTCTACAATAATACAAAATACTGTGCTACACAGAGAACTACTCTCATGTCTGATGTCTGCTGTGTTATGTGTGCATTTTACCCCTGTTGTGGTTTCCTGTCAATCAGTGAGCAGTGGGAAACCTTTTAAAAGACATCCCTGGTTGGGTGTCAAAAATTTCAGGAAGTATCAAATCAGATGGATGTTATGCAGAATAACTCTCTGACCTTTAACCACCTCTTCCTGGTGTGTGCTGTGGATGCGTCTTCCTCCTCCTCAAAAAACACATCACGTATTCTGGGACAATAGCCTTAAAATACCTCCTTGAAGCCATCAAATATCAGTCCCAGTCTGGGTGGCTGTGGTTGTGGTTCCCCGGCGGGTGGTTCTCAGCCTAAGCACAGAATCTCCCGGGGAGGCTGTGTGAACCCCATCCAAGCCTATTGAATTAGAGGGTACCAAGGTGGAGCCTAGCAGATTAGCACACCAAAAGTTTGCAGAATCACTGATTTGGTTTAATCCCTTCATTTTACCAAAGGGGAAACTGAGGCCCCAAAAAAGAGAATGGAATGACTCATCTAA